CTTTCAATATCAGTAGAAAGGAACACCCCCCCCCGGTAAGAACTCGTATTTTGTAAGTATTTTGTTGATGAAAAACCAAACTTGGCCTAGGTATACCAGGCAAGTCTTAACTATCCCTAGGAACACAAAAATTTGCCAAATTCTGCAAAATATCCTGAAAAACGAAAATTTTACATTTGGGACATTTTTTTATACACCCTGTATAATTATTTTCTCAATGTTCAACCCAATTACCAAGTATTGACGCTCGGTTTATTTTTCTATAACGCATTATAAGTAATATTTTCATTATTTTTTCTATGGCTTCGTTGCTTATCTTGGGCAATAATTCACTGTTCTAAATTAGATACGCGAAAGTTACATTCTAGCCTACAAAATCAAGCCTAAAGTCTACTCGTATCTCCATTCTTACGAAAGCATGTACGCAGGTTGCTCCGTTGTTCCTGTGATAATCGGCCATGACAATTGATTCTTCTTGTATACTTTCATTGACACCCAAAAAAAACGCTAATGTCAATACTAATCAAACCTTTCACTCTCGACTACACTACGTACGGCTCGTACGGTATTCAAATTGCATCCAGTTTGACTCTTCACGCAGCTTCCCGTTTTGCAACTTTTTAAAGTTGTTTTTTTTAAGTAATGTTATCTTTTATAATTATCGAAGCCGTCTGCCAATGTAAAGCAAAGTGAAAGCGAAGAGTATTGTTTATGAGTAATGACATGATGAAAGTTAAGCACTATCTGCTCATGTTTCGAAAATGAAACAACTCAATAAATTATATTAGTTTACATACAACACAGTTTAATAGTATAAAGATTCTATTCACATGCAGTATTACTATATTTTATAATAAACTTATCATGCCGAAAAAGCGATGTTAAGTGTTGTATAATCGCTAAACAATTACGTGTATGTTAATTTCGATACTTGATTAACATAACGCATTTAAAAACAAACTTTGAGGACAAATACTCTAAACTTTCTCGGCCTCGCGAAATGCGAACTCTGCGGCATGGAAAGAACACGCGAGTTCCTGAGATGCAACTCAAACAGGGAGTGCATGGCCAAGACCGATCAGTCGATTACGAAAGAGAAAACTACATCCTCGAAACCATAGCAACGGTCTTTCGAGTTATTTATAAAAACACCTGCGCAGTGTTTCCTTTAAAACTTCTTCTGTTGTACGATGCACATCTAGTGTATATGACAGGGTAAATACTAAGACAGAATGAATTACAGGACTTTAAATGCTATTGGTTGTGGATTTTCAAAGAATAATATATTTCAATGAAAATATATCAATGCGATGGCAAATTATGAGTGCAGTAATTTATTCTGCCCCTTTCCCGGGTCCGACATTTAAACAGATTATATGCAAATGCAAAACTAAAAAGGGAAATTAACAATAATACTTCAATTCCTTGACTTATTCTTGTCAACAGAAAAATGTCAACCAACAATTTCAATATGACAACTGTTCCAAGAGATGTTCTCATCTTTTCTGTTGTTTTCAAATTCTTTGCAATGATTTTTGGGGTATTAGGAAATGGGACAGTTATAATATATACAATTTTTTCAAGAAGGGAAAAGACAGTCGCGTCATACTTAATTGGAAACTTGGCATTGGCGGACCTTCTCGTGTGCCTAACATTTTATCCAATATGGATCATCGAATTTATTCAGACAATATTGAACATCGACAGCGATCAGGACTTGTTTTGCAAGTTAAGTCGTTCTACCAGCTGGTCATTTCTGTTTGCTTCAGTGGCAACACTTCTTGCTATCACAGTTGATCGCTATTTATACATCGTAAAACCTCTGAAATATCCCTTAATTGTGACACGGGAACGAGTGCTTCTTGTCATATCTGGGATTTGGTTTACCGTCTGTTGCAGTCTCATAGCATGGCTAATCTTCTATAGGAAGTCGAACATTGGATTAAGGGGTGTCTGCGACGTATCTGACAACATTCTAGGGGTTCTTGGCGCGCTTTTTTTCTATGTCCCTTTTGCATCAATATGCGTCCTCAATTTTCTAATCCTAGATGTTTCCAAGAAGCAAAGAAAACGAGTATTCACAGAAAACGTTGCATTTCAAAACAATACTATTGAGATGTCGATAAAACGACGCAACGGAATACATTATCTTCGCCTTAAATTCAAAACAGCAAATACATTCTGCATTGTGACGGCAGTTTTTGCTTTCTTTGTCTTTATCCCTGCCTTGATTGGGCTGCCAATTGAGATTTCTTGCAACAAATTGTGTCGCCAACTTTGGTTTGTCGTTTTTCAATACGAGTTGTTTGGGATTAATTCAATCACGAATGCGTTCATCTACGCAATGAGACATATAAGGTTCAGGAAAGCCGTTGGGAACTACATTTTACGCCTATTGGGTTTGTAACAAACCAAGTCTTATCCTTGGCAATGATTCTGGAATAAAGGATAGTTATGATACAATATATTTACACCAAATTTACTGAGCTCAAAAATACCTTTGCCCTTTCATGGTTGTGAAACCCGTGGCAGTCACAACCATGAAAGGGCAAAGTTATTTTTGAGCTCAGTGTTATATTTGTCTTCTTTTATAGCACTTGATCGAATTCAGTTTTTATATATGCATACGGTATTCTACTGCATGCAATGTAATCATCTCACTCGAGAGTTTTGCAGTGTTAAACTTTTATAGCTGTATCCTTGTTTTTTAATTTCATATTAACAAAATGACACGCAATTTTGTTCACAATACACCTTTGAAAAATGAGTCATCTGCGCAGAATCGTTTTCTAGCTCGAACATATCAGCATATATATGGCGCTAGATCGTGATCCAATTGTTATACTGATCTATTTAGTCCATGTGTTTGCTCACTTCCGGGAATATGAAGTTCTGCTGTAAACAAATTGCTCTTAAAAATAAAAATTAATGATTAGTTGTCAAATACTAATTCATTTTGGATTCGTATAGACTTGGCTGCACTGATTCTTCATAATTCAGTAGACTTTAGTTATAGCAAAAAGATTTTGGTAAAGTAAATTTGGTGTAAGTCGCCCGCTTTGCGCGACAGTCCGGCTAGCGATATCTCGCCACGAATTAATACATTCCCAAATAAAAATTTCTGTGCGTAAATTTCTCTGGACAAAGCGGACTGGCCCGCTCGGCGAGGTGGAAACAATTTTTATAATTTGTTATGTTTCTCAGCGTTTCTTTTTCTAGTTTAGAACACTACATGACTAAAAGCGAACAAAATGTGGGAAAGTACTTAATTACTAGATGCTGATGCTAATGTGATATGACCTTTAAACACAAAGCCAATGGCAATTTCACAGCCGCCAGATGTTTTTGATGAGCTTTTAAGATTCGTCATTTATTGCATGAAAGATATACGATTCAGCGGCTTTCTTTTAGGAAATGTGAAGAATTTTTAACTTTCCTTTAATCAAAACCAGAGAGGACCAAAAACTCATTTATCTTTGCTATGCCTATGTGTAGCAAATTTAATAAACAAGACGCTCGGCTGAGCGTTTAGTCGCTGGGGCTATTTAAGTGAAGCCTATACAGTATGTTTATTCTAATTATAATTGTATACACAAATACAATAGGAAATTTACACACTAATAACACAATACTTTGATTGTAAAGTGACTGAAATAGTGAAATATTGCAGGTTGACCAGCCTGACACCCAGCGGCGAAGACCAAGTTCCACGCAAGTAGTCAAGTAGTAGTGATACTGATGAATGAATATAACGTTCGCTCAGTGTCGTACTTGGTATTCTGTCATGTAACGCTGCAACATGTTCTTTTCACCCGACCGTCTTTCCGTATTCGGGTTTATTTGCAACAAATTAAGGCCGTAGAAATGCATCCAATAAATAACAGCTTGCGAATAATGCCAATACTATTGTTGCGATTTCGAATTTGCAAATATAATTTGCCGTTAAACTTTGTGAAATTGAAAATTGTGAACTTTTGTTGTTTATTTCAAGCTTTGAGCCTTCTGATTTTACTCGCAATCTCACATAAGATGACTTTCGGTTTATAAACCTGCAATCATTTTCAAAAGTAGTTGAGACACTGTCGATTTTAAACCACACTCAGACTTCAATGTGTGTTCTTTATATAATAATCCAATTGCATACAGTGACTACTTATATAATATTAGCTATAACGAGCCTGCAGTGCTATGTACTTGAGCCCGTAATATAAACATACATATATCATGATCTACATCCTCCTTTTTTTTCCAAAAAACTAAAGTATTCTAATTATAAATGTTCCGAGATAAGTTTCTATATGTAATGAATGTTTTAATATACCTATTTCAACACTCGTAACTAAACCTATAAATGCTTAAATAATATCTAAATGCAAATACGTTCAATCGTTCTATGCTTACGCCACACAGTCTTTATATTTACTGTTCGGTCTTGAAATTCTTCCTGATCTTGTAACTACTGGATGATGTCGTAAACCATCGTATCGTTGCTGTCTTGTAGTTCTAGGAGGGGAATTTGTACTCGTATTCGGATCCGAAACTACGTTGCTCTCACTGTTAATTTCTCGGGGTGAGGAGGACTCGGTGGAAACCGTATCATCGGATGGTGGATCTGGCTCGTCAATTTCTTCTTTCACGACATAATTCCTTTCTGGTACCACAAGCAAATGTCTTCGATTTCTTCGATATTCATGTCCGTTAGATTCAACAATATAGGATCGAGGTTCTTCGGTTGCTCGCTTAACAATGCCAATCTTGTCAAATCCTTTTGAAGTTTGACAACTTGATTGGTTTTCAACTTTCCAAGTGTTCTTGCACTTTTGTCGTAAAACTTCTTCTGCTGTTGACGTTTCTTCCACAGATTTTGAGTTACAAATTTGCATGATAAAGCTTTTGGTCTTAGTAACACTTTGGACGTTGGAATAACTGTACATGTACGAGTTCTTCTGGACATCAAACGCTGCGCAGGTGAACCCAAATTAGTATCTCTAGGAGTGTTTCTAAGATTCAACAATTAACCCAAGTAAAGGATCGGAACCATCTCTCTTAGACCTTTCCAACAGCTTCTTTGCTTGCTTAACTGCGTTTTCTGCTAAACCATTAGACTGGGCATATGAAGGACTGCTAGTAACTTGCTTAAAACTCCATTCCTTCGCAAATAACTGAAATTCCTTGCTGACGAACTGCGATCCGTTGTCAGTCAACAACAATTCAGGAATGCCGTGAACCACAAAATGACGTTTCATCTTCTTTATGATCGTCTTGGATGACATATTTGACAGAGTGTCAATTTCAAACCATCCAGAGTATGCATCAACAACTACTAGATATTTCAAATTGTTCCATTCAAAAATGTCAGCGCTTACTTGGGTCCATGGTAACTCTGCTGTTGGATGACTTCTCATCGGCTCTTTGGTTTGATGTGGTTTCGTGCTGTTGCATGCTCCACACGAGTTTACTACGAGGTCGATGTCTTTGCTCATCGTTGGCCAATAAACAACGTCCCGTGCTCTTCTCTTCGTAGCTTCAGTTCCTGGATGTCCTCTATGGAGCTGCTTGATATAACTTTGTCGTAAATTCTCTGGGACAACAACCCTTTGACTCTTCATAACTATTCCGTTCTCAACCACCAATTCATCTCTTACAGCAAAATATGGTGCAAGTGCGGTTGATACGCCTCGGTGCTTCGTTGGCCAACCACTTCGAATTACTTGAATTAACTTCTGCATGATAGGATCTGAAGATGTTGCTTTCCGCAATTCTTCCATTCTCGTCGGCGAAATCGATTCTACGACCATGACTTCAAAATCATCGTTGCTATCTTCATCGGGTTTCTCATCAATATAGGCACGTGATAAAGTATCAGCAACGAACAGATCTTTCCCTTTTTTGTAGACAAATTCCAAGTCATACTTCTGGAGTTGTAACAGCATTCGCTGGAGTCGGGCTGGCGCTACATGTAGAGGTTTCTTGATTATCGTGATGAGAGGTTTATGATCAGTTTCAATCACCACTTTGCTACCATATACAAAATCGTGGAATTTTACGCAAGCAAAAACGGCTGCTAACAGTTCCTTTTCGATCTGCGCGTATCTTGTTTCTGTCTCCGTCATCACACGAGAAGCATACGCCACTGGAGAACCATCTTGAAGACACACGGCTCCAAGTCCACTCTTTGAGGCATCGACAGACAGAACCACTTTTCTGGCAGGATCGAAAAACTTTAGCACTGGTGGATTGCTAATTTCGTCCTTTAACTTTTGAAAAGCTTCTTCATGATGTACGTCCCAACACCATGCTACTTCATTGCTCAACAACTGTCGCAGAAGGGCTGTTTTCTCACTGAAATTTTCGATGAACTTATGCAAATAATTCAACAAACCAAGGAATCGTTGCAACGCTTTCGGTCCATCTGGAGCTGGCATTCCTTTGATTGCCTTGATCTTTTCATCATCTGGCTTCAACCCATCTTTGGTAAACTTGTGCCCAACATATGAAACACTCTGGAGTCGAAACTTGCACTTCCCCACGCTTAACTTGAGATTAATTTCTCTTGCTCGTTGCATTACTTTCTCCAGGTTGGAATCGTGTTCTGCGTCATCTCGCCCCCAGACCAGTATATCATCAACAATGATCTCGCAAGGATAGCCTGTGAACAACTGTTCTATCGTTCTTTGATACACTTCTGACGCTGTATTAATACCAAATGGCATACGGAGATAGCGATACCGCCCGAAAGGTGTGCTGAACGTAGTGAGGATTGAGGACTGTTCGTCCAATTTCAGCTGCCAAAATCCAGTTTTTGCATCCAAGGTGGAAAACACTGTGGCACCCGCCATACGAGCAGCAACACTTTCTACATTTCTCATCGGGTGATGAGATCTCCTTAGAGCTTTGTTCAGATCCCGTGGATCCAAACAAATGCGTATAGTACCATTCTTCTTTCTTGTGGCTACCATCTGCGAAACCCATTCTGTAGGTTCTGACACTGGCACGATTACTCCTTTCTTCACCATGTTGTCGAGCTCTCTCTTTACGCTGCTTTCCATGGCCACTGGAATCTTTCGGGGTGGTTTGATTACAGGTGTAACACTGTTGTCCACTTTCATGGAGTATACTGCTGGTAGCTCGCCAAGGTTATTATCGAACAGATCTTTGTGCTTATTCAAAACTTGTTGTGCATAATCGCCACTTGACTTGACTTCATGAACGTATTCGTTGAATTTGATCAACTTCATCTTCAACAAATCGCTTAAACCAAGAAGAGATGCGACTGGCCTGTCAACAATCTGAAATTCTAAACTATACACTTTCGAATTTATCCTACAGTTCAAACAAACAGTACCCAAAGTTGAGAAGGTATGACCCCCAAAAGCCACTAACTCTACAGACTTTGATTTATTAATTCGTTCACCGTCTCTCAAAACTTTGAATAATTTAAGGGACATTACATTACATCTCGCTCCCGTGTCAACTTTTAATTTCATTTCATGACCATTGATTTTAGACGAACAAAGAATTTCCTTCTTATCACGTACTTTATTTAATTCTTCTATTGTTCCTATGATAAATAAATCTTCGCTACTTTCGTCAGATGAATCATCACGAGCTATTTCATCAATTTTGGGCTTTCTATTAACCCGTGACTGCTTTCCTTTTTTAGTTTTACCAACTTCTCGAGATTTTTCAGAATAACATACTTTCTTAAAATGATTTAATTTCCCGCAACCATGGCACTCTTTTCTAAATGCAGGACACGCTTGTTTTTCGGCTTTATGTTCGCCCCCGCAACTTTTGCAGCTTTGTATGGTTGATTGATTTCTTAATGGCTTTTTGTTTCTTAAATAGTTTATATCATGTTTATCTGAATCCTGCTTCGACAATCGCTTTCCATAGTCTTCGGAAAGTTCATTTAATTGACAAATTTGTACTGCCTTATCAAGTGTGAGTGCTCTTTCTTTTAACAACTGTTTACGAACCCTATCCGACTGTATTCCGCATACAATTTTGTCACGAATAAACTCGTCTTTCATTGTACCGTATTCACACGTGTCTGCTAATATACGAAGATCGGCAACATAAGATTGTATAGACTCACCGTCTCTCTGATTTCTTACATGAAATCTGTGTCTTTCCATGATTACATTTCCTTGCGGATTGCAGATTTCTTTAAATTTTCGCTTAAGGACCACCATGCTTTCCTTCGTCTCGGCAGGTGTTACCACTTCACCGTCAGTGTTACGAACGGCCGATGCATATACAAACGACTTTTCTTTCTCAATTGCTTCTCGGCCCGGGATATTCAGCATGATGTAGGCCTTCGTCTTCGCATCTTTATCGTGGTGTGCGGCTTCCATGAATATGTCTAATTCAAGCTCAAACCGACGCCAATTTTCTGCTACATTTCCCTCGAAGCTCAATGGTTCGGGTTTGCGAAACGAGTCTGCCATTTGATTGAGATTCTTTCTGCTTCTTAGAAGAATCCCACACCTGACACCATGTCGATTTTAAACCACACTCAGACTTCAATGTGTGTTCTTTATATAATAATCCAATTGCATACAGTGACTACTTATATAATATTAGCTATAACGAGCCTGCAGTGCTATGTACTTGAGCCCGTAATATAAACATACATATATCATGATCTACAGACACCTACTATTTTAGCTAAAATCTACTATATAGGATGATTTTCATACATCCCCCCCTCCCCCAATCAATGTTGGTTTTCAAATTCAAACACGTTTCGGAACAAAATGTCTGTCTATTTTTTACACAACATTGAAAGGGGGGCGCGGGGGATCTGGGTTTGTTTTATTAATTTGTAATTTGGCTACCTGTGCCAACTCTTTTGAAAATGATTGTGGTTCATGGGAAACCTTTGAAATTTAAAACCTTGAAAATCAATGAAATTAATGTTAAATACGCTTCTCCGAGTAACCGGCCATCTTGAATCCAATGACGTAATAGTAATGACGTAAGACGTAGTAACTTGTTGACTTACAATCCGCCATGAAGCCGAAACTTTTGCTGGCTGGCGGCACAGCCGGAGTGCCCAGCGACCAATTAAGTAGGTTAGGTCTTACTTAGCTTTTAGTTTTTATTCCATTGTAAATATAAATAGTAGAGTAATATCTAATTTTAATACCAAGTTTGTATGTAATCATTACGTTACTCAGCTTTTGCTGCGATGTACACAGCCAGAAACGCCACAGGCACAGACTTGCTGCAAGTTGCGGGTTTTACCGGCCTGCTGCAAGTTGTCAACAAGTTGCAGCAAGCTTGTTGACGTCATCAACTTGCAGCAAGCCGGTAAATCAGGCTAGATGCAAATTGATGAAACAAGTTGCATCAAGTTTGCAAATGTCAACTTGCAGCAAGCCCGATGCCGGAACAACTTGCATCAAGTCTGATGAACGCATCAATGCTGATGCAAGTTGAGAAAACCAGGCTTGCTGCAAGCTCTCACTTGCAGACTTGATGCAACTTGTTTTATTAACTTGAATCAAGTCTGTCGATATCAAGTTTTAACAAGTCTGATGGAACAACTTGCAGCATGTCTGTGATCACATCAATGTTGATGCAAGTTGAGAAAATCAGACTCGCGGCAAGTTGTTATCTACAGGCTTGCTGCAAGTTGTTCAAACAATTTGCAGCATGGTTGTGGCTAACAAGTTCTGACAAGTTTGATAACAACTTGCAACAAGTCGTTAAAATCAGGCTTGTTGCAACTTGATATTTGCCGTTTGCTGTAGCAACTTGATAACAAGTTTATTTGATTTGTTCACAACGAGGTTCACAGTTTATAACAGGTTTGTTTATTGTTCGCTTCGGCCGTGGAAAGCAGTTTCCTCGATTATTTTATTGCTCTACATGATAGATTTTTGTATTTTAAATCAAAAAGATTATTTTGCTTTATTTAGCCATACAGCTTTTTCTAATCAATAAAATTAGATGAGTTGAACTGGACAGCTGTAGAAAAATTCTCGCAAGTCGCAATAATTATAAATTTTCCCCGAGCGGGCGCGGAGCGCCTGCGAGGGTACAAATTTCGCTCGGAGATTAGGAATTACACCCGGAACCCGGTAGAACATAGGCGAATCCAAAGTTGTCCAAATTCTTTGTCATGGACGGTCGACGAACACCGCGGAAAAATGTCTGCGCACACGCCGAAATATCAAAATATGATGGTAAATCTAAATATCAACTTTTGGAACAAAACATGCCCATTATTTGATAAAATATAAGTTAAGAAAAGGCAAAAATATACAAGACGGCCAAACAGAACATAAATTAAAAGCCTTCTAGCATTTAGAGTATCGAACGTCAACGAACTGGAATTCACGGTAAATTTTCCTTTTTTTACGGGGTGGCTTTGGAATATTTTTCGAAAACAAAAGTTTAAACCTAAAAGTTAAGAAAACCCGCGAAAAGTTAAGCTTTCTAATCTATTTAAATTGTAAGATACATCTTAATTTTCAATCATTGAGAACACGCAAGCGTCTCGTCTCTGGCGACATATTTTTTTTTAATAAAACGTGTCTCAATTAAAAGTTCGGAAACTATCGTTGTTTATTTGATAAACAAAATGTTTGAGACGAAAAATGTGTCAACAGTCACCTTTTACAGGTGTTTTTGTAGGATGCCACTTCTAGGACTCTCTGGACGTTGTTTCTCTTAGTTTCTATCATGCAGTGTTTATTTATGCCCTCGAAATATGGATTTGAAGACACGAATGAAGTCACTCCTTTTTACCGCCATTTTTAGCCTTCCGAAACGTTCGGAACCGCTTTTTAATTCTTTTTAATCTCACTTACAGGCAGAGTTGACGCGTGCGCAGACATTTTTTCGCGGTGTTCGGTCGACGTTGGGTGGTTTTGTAAGTTATGGGCATGCGCGAGTAACGTCTGGTAATCAACGAACGTTCTGATTGGCTAAGACAGAAAGTTTGTATTTCAATGAGAACGTCAGCAATTTATATTAACTGTCATTTCGTAAACATTTTTGTAAAAGCGTTTTATAAACTTTGTGCAAAGGAAGTAAAACGAGAAGAAACAGGATATATGAAGCATGACAGTTAGCAAAGATGAACGTGGATACGGTCGAGACAAAGCCGTGTAAGAGGAATAATTCATAATCTGCAAACTTATAAATGTTTTCAAAGACAAAGGGTACGTGTTTACTTTGTTTATTTCGTATTTGTTTCGCGATAAGAATGAGCCGTATTTGTATACTTTTTAGCTTTGTATGCCGTTTATTTGTTAAATTTTCAGCTTTTTATACAAACGCATAAACCTGTGAAAGGCTATTACACCTTTGCTTTAACTTCAAAAAGTGTTTTTGAAAGTGTAATTTGAATTTTAGTATAAACATTACACACTATATTTATAAAGAATAAAACTTTTAGCCGCCGGCGTCGACTGCAAAATACAGAATAAAATAATAATTGAAGTTTTTTCTTTGTCTGTGAAGATTTTGTACTGTTTTAATCGTTTGAAACTTCGATTTTAAACCGTTACTTAATTGCTGGCATGCTATAATGCAGCAAAATTGAACGGGCAATGTTTATACACTAGCTTTATGAATATTTTTGTATTGAATGATGGAAACATTAGCTATAATATACTCGGTGAAATATAATAAGACTGATTTGAGTTTTGTGTCATTTCATATAATATAAGTTTAGGTCAGGTTAACTCAGGAAATTGTGTACTTGGTTTGAAATAGCGAGGGGTTGCTGCATGCATGTATTTCTAGTATAAAAATTGAAATTTAGGAACCACTTGCTGACGTATGCTATCGTTACGTTTCTTTAATCTGACCATAGACTATCGAAGGGAATGGACTGGAAACGCTAATATAAAGCGCTGTGTCTGACGAATACACGCGTGATATGGGCTAGCACGAATCGTTTTTTGCGTTACCATAGAAATTAAGCGCAGGAAGAAACAAGAAAATTTTTCACAGCAAGACTGCAAGTTCGACTTTACGGCGATTTTTTCCAAATATAACAGCTAGGATATATTTTTCTCCTGTTAAATTAAAAGACAAACAGTTGAGAAGGTAAGAACTTTTTAGAAAAGGTTGACTTTTGGGGGAAATAGCTCCCAAAACGGTATGCGCTTCCGTGTGTTTAGCATAAAATGGCGCACCGGAAGTTAAAGGTCAATGTGAAGGTTAAAGGACCCTGTAACTCTTTAGAAATTCTGTTTTTAATAATATGTTACACATTATTTTATCCCTACACAATGTGTCAACGAAACGCATACATAACCTGTTCCCGTTTTCGCTATCATTTTTAAATAAAAGCTGATCAATTTCAGTTGTGATTTTCACAAGAAACGCACATCGTCTATGTCATTGTTGAAGTACATGATCCAAAGTAATACTATAAACCACGCTTAATTTCCCAAAATTCACTTATATTTACTAATTCAGACTCTCTTGTCTCTTGATGCACACTTATAAAGCTAGGGTCAAATATGTAAATCAATTCTGTTGTATTGCAAGAAAAAAGATAGGCCAAGTTGGATAGTATTAAATTCGCACGAAGCAAAAAAAGCATTGTTATTGTTCAAGAAAGCGGCACAAAAGGAACCCTGCAGCTTGAGAACAAGAAACATTTTTTCTCTAAAATTTAAATAGACGAATTCCTCACTGATAGGGCTACGAAACGGTCATCGTTTAATTGCCGTACTGTTCTTCGTTTAAAAAAGATGTACTATGTTTTGAATTTATCAAAAACTAGAATACAAGCCCGAAGTCATGTTGCAACTTTTGCAAGACTGTGAGCTTGCATTAACGATCTTCCGAAATATCAAGCCGTAAAGTTCGTCATAAAAAATATACTGTTTTCCAACATTTATTTGTATGAATATGCTACAATTCTTTAAGTTATATTTTATAGCTTTGATATTTTATCGTTGGCAATTAATTAAGGGAAATTGATGTTTATATTTCTTATAAGACAACCAAAATTACTACAAGTATATAAATTACTTATTAAAAACAAACATCTTTATCTGTTTTTATTACCCTACACCTACATGTACCTCGAAAGATTAACCATATGTATAAACTTATTTTGATTCAGGATCGAGTTGCAGTTCTTATATAATGTGAGTTATGTATTTTAATTAATAAATAATTAAAATTATAATGTAATTTTTTTTCGAGATGCCATACAAAAGAGGTTTTTCTGTAAAAAAGAGATTTAAGAAGGAAAGGTTGAATAGGACTAAGAAATTACAAATGCTTACAGAGCAAGAAAACATATTGAAGATATCATGCAGGTAAACCGTAATAGTCTTAATACACAAACTGATGTAATTATGTAGCTAAAAAGCTAATGGCAATGCATTTTCTTTTCTATTAAGGATAAATTGGGCAATGAAATAGCTACCACAGCAACAAACCACATTACCACCTGTGCTACATCAACATGTATGCCTGAAACTATCGAGGACAATTATAGATGTCAACCTGTACCTGAAGCAATCAATCATACCCCTACAAGTGAAATAGCTACCACAGCAACAAACCACATTACCACCTGTGCTACATCAACATGTATGCCTGAAACTATCGAGGACAATTATAGATGTCAACCTATAGCTGAAGCAATCAATTATACCCCTACAACATCTTTAAAGAGAATAGCAAATACTATAAAAGTTATAGGCCTACCTCCTGGATGGACTTTAGTAAACAGTGACAGCAAATTGTTAAAAGTAGTTCTCATTAAGCAAAGGAAGCGAAATCCCATGAAAGATCCCATGATTATTAAGTCATTGGCAGTCTATGAAGACTATACTTGGAGTATAAGAGTGCATAACAAAACTGTCCAACAGTTTGATTGCAGTGGATTGGAAAATCTTGTTAAGCATAAAGTTATTAAGTCTAGTGGAGCATTCTTTGAAGTTGTGTCAACCATTCATGATGCTAAGATATGCTGTGGAAACCCTGATCTTGACCTCCTAAGTGAAACACACCCAATGCTTGATTTGGAAAGAATGCGTTCAAATATTGATGCACAGTTTGAAGTTGAATGTAATGGAAAGCATTTTGAGAGCACAATTCGAGGAGAAAAATGTCACATGTTGATTGCAGGAAGATATGACAGATGCACTGAATGCTCAAAATATAGAGCATATTTACGAACAGTCAAATGCAGACAACAAAAAATGGCCATATATGATAAAAACTACTACACAGGCTCAAACAGTTCTGTCAATTACAGATATTTGTCTTCAGAAGGAAAAACAGAACGGTTGAGGTCAATGCAAAAGGAACTCAGATCAAAAAATCAGTTGGTAAATAAATTGAGGTCCAGACTTGCCCATCTTATTGATACAGAAGGCCATGTTTTAGATCCCCAAATTAATGAAGACCTTTCTAGCATCTTATCAAATAAAGAAAACTTTGCAAATGAGTTACCTGAAGGATCATTTAGAAGGTTATTGTGGGAACAACAGATGCAGGCTTTGTCCTGCAATGACTCAAGGCAAATGAGATGGCATCCTGTTATGATCAAGTGGTGCCTGAACATTAAGTTAAGATCATCCTCAGCATACAAAGCACTAAGAGACTCTGGATTCATAAAGCTGCCAAGTGAAAGAACATTAAGAGATTATACTCATTGGACGAAAGTAACATCTGGATTTCAGCCTTCCTCATTTGAACGTTTGCTTGTGGATATGAGTAGTAGTGAGCTAGAAGAATGGCAGAAATTTGTGGTCTTGCTTCATGATGAAGTAAAAATAAAGAGCGATCTTGTGTACTGCAAGCATACTGGAGAACTTATAGGATTTGCCAACCTGGGTAATATCAACAACACATTGCTAGATTTTGAAAAGCAGTGCCAAGAAGATGCCAACCCAATGCCAGACCTTGCAACTTACATGCTTGTGTTTATGGTCCGAGGAATTACCATTAGGCTGGAGTACCCCCTAGCACATTTTCCTTGTAACAGCAGCATAACAGCAGATTTCATTTTCCCTCTTGTCTGGGATGCAGTGAGGCACCTTGAAACTATTGGGGTTAAAGTTGTTGCAAGTACTTCTGATGGAGCTTCCACGAATAGGAGATTTGTTAAGACGACGGTAGCAAATGCACTGGATTCATTTTATGGACAGGAAGTTCAAGGAACCGTAAAATTCATCAGAATGTTTGATAAATTTTTCGATTGTTTGAATAGTCGGTCACTAACAGAGGCTGACAGGAACAGGAAACCGAATATGGCACCATATAAATCTCCAAATGACCAGCGTTTAAAGGTGGGGTAATTGTTAGACCTCACCAACGATATTTCGGTATAGTCAATACATGTATAGCCTGGAGCAAAATGTAGAAAATATTTATTTGCTTTACATAGTGGCTGAGGGATGATTTTCTAAAATACCTGGAAAGGTGGGCAACATCAGTAGATTCACACTTCCAGGGACTGAAATCGAAAGAAAAGGCGAAAATGAGATTGAGCAATCAAACAAATGAAGGGATACATATGACAGGTATTAGAAGAAAACATAATGATTTACTGTATTGTTCAATCAAGGTTACTTATATATGCCCTTTCATTTCATGTTGCAAATATTTACACTCTTATAAATTCTCTTTCCTTCAGTTTATTCATTTGTTGAATTGACACAGTACTTGCTTGCACAAACTGGTGTGCAATACATTTTAAGTGAACGCTTCAACCAAGATCCGTTAGAATCACATTTTGGCAAGCATCGACAAATGAAGGGAGGAAATGACAATCCTACAGTTGCTCAATTCAACTACAATGAGAACAATCTTCGTCTGCTAGGTTCTCAGGCACTGGCCCCAGTCAATGGCAACTGTAAAAGGTCATGCACTGAAAACAAAATTGATGACACACCACTTCCAAAGAGGCCAAGAAAACCAAAAAAACTTTTTTTCTAACAGTTATGAAAAGTTATGAATCCATGGTTACATAATTTCTGCATTTTTCAGATTTTTTCTTAGGGATTTTTTCTTTGATGCTTCAATAGTTTGGTGATGTTTGAAATGTTCGATCCAATGTGCTGCAAATGCATGACCTCGAATATCAACCCACAGTTGTATGCACATTTGCATGACCTGGTTTGATTCTGTTACATTCTGTCCTGTTGCTTCTCTCCAATGCTGCTTTACCACCTCGTCCTTAAGTACAGCATTTAAAACTGGGGATTTTATATCCGTTGAATCAGCCGTAGTTTTTATATGTTTTTTTTGAAAATATTTGCGGCAATGACATTCTACTGATCTAAAGAACAAGAAAGCTTCATTTGTCAGTTGAAATAAACCACCTCTATTTTGCTTGTCAATCCAGCATTTTGTGTAGTCTAAAAATGTTTGTGGATTTTCCACTCCCTTCATCACACCAAGAGCATTAAGACACTGGGTTTGAGCATCACTCTCCATGCACTGCTTCTTTTTGCACCTTTTCTTTAATGCAAAGGGAACAAAACCTGCAGCATATCTCAGGATGTTCTCCTCGACATTTGTTATTTTCTCTGGACTTTCAGGATTTTCAGAGCTAAACTGTGCACCAGATTTCAGAACAATTATTTTTTCAAACAGCTTTCGTACTAAGGTCTGAATAAAAATTGTCAATGGGGGATGATCATTCAAGGCTGGACGCAAGTAAGACTTCAACCCCTCAACAAAGAAGAGTTTAAGCACATGTGTGAAAAGCTTGCCACATTTTCTCACGCTGGTCAGCCAGAATCTTTTTTGAATCACCAGCAGAAACAGCATTCCAAAATCATAGACAATGAAGCAGCAACCTTCAACATTGCATTGATCTTATTTTTCAAAAAACACTCAGCAGTACCAATCAGTTGTCCATTTAGTGATCCTTTTATCTTGTTGAAGGGATCGTTAATAAATCACTCATAGTTTCCTCCACTAACTTTTCACCACCAGCACAGAGCTTAGAAAAGGAATACTTTGTATATTTGCCATGACTTATAATATGTAACCACATCATGTCAAGGATTTAGAATAGACTCTTATATAAAGGATTTCAATATTTTTGTTTGGAAATGGAATGATACAACTTCCCATAATTTCGTAAAACAGAAACAGTATAGAAACAGATTTACTTCACTTCATTAAAAAATCACAAATTTAATTTAAACAATTATACAAATCGTTTTAAAAACTCTTTTATGCCAAACTATTCAAATAGACACAGTGACTCTTAATGACTGCGAGATGTATATTTATTAAACGATTTGATTGATTAAACGATTTGATTGATTGATTGATTGATTGATTGATAAACGTATCAAATAAAGCAAGTACATCAGTTTATATTTCACAGCTGGACGTTTAATAAAAATACTAATTATTAGTATTCAGTTCCCAAATTTTTACCAGGCGTTTCTTCAACATTATCATTTATTTCTGGACATTCTTCACTCAGAATGAATGCCTCGTCTTCGTTAATTTCCTCGCTACTTTCTTCTTCGCTTTCAATAGCTTCTTCTTTATAAGTATATTCAAAAATTGTATCCCAGTTAACAGTTTCGCTGTTTAAGCTTTCCGCCATCTTGGATATAATTTCGCGCGCAAATCGCACAGGCGTATCACGCATCGTATCAGCGCTTTATATTAGCGTTTCCAGTCCATTCCCTTCGATAGTCTATGATCTGACTGAATAAGCTCGTATGCACTCGCCATCAATCCTCGCAGCAATTGGACGAAATATTACAAAGATATTAAACACGTAATCAAGTTCGGTTGTTTTTGTCTCATTTTGAGTCAACAAAATTTCGAGTTTTTAACAAGTGCGAAGTGCGAACTAAAGTCCTCGCTAAAATCAAATAAAGCGAAGAAGAAAAAAATCTCAAAAGAAGAAAGCTCAAAGCTGGTTTGATTTTTGAAAAAGTGGCGACGAAAATACATGATTTAAAGCTTATTAAATAAAAATACATGAACGACTGAGTAAAGTTCATCGACATCGTTGATATGAATATGAAATTCGTTACTGAATTTCTTTCCAATTTCAAGAGAAATCTGTAACGAGGAAGACGCCTTATTGAAGCTTTGTGTATGTACTATTTTTAAGAAAAATATTTTGTTTGTTTGTTTTGCTCAGTCAAAACTTATCTCACAAGTGTTAAAATGCTTGTTATTTTACGAAACATTAAAACCGAAGTCTCGACCGAAGTATGGCAACCTCGATGGCTACCGTTTGGCTGTTTTTTTGTTTAAAATGGTGGATATACGAAGCTTCATAAGGCGCTTTCCTCACTTCGCTTTTTGACAAATTGCATCAAGTCTGCAGTTCACAAATTGCATCAAGTCTGCAGTTCACAAATTGCATCAAGTCTGCAGTTCACAACTTGCATCAAGTCTGCATTTCACAAATTGAACCAAGTCTGCAGTTCACAACTTGCATCAAGTCTGCTGTTCACAACTTGTATCAAGTCTGTTAACAACTTGCAACAGACTTGATATTATCAAGCCAGAGCAAGCGATGCGAACGCATCCTGATATCGGCTTGATGATCGCAACTTGCATCAAGTCTGCAACAGGCCTGCTGCAACTTGCGCGTTTCTGGCTGTTCAATTTGAACAAAGCTTTGTTTTTATTTATGCAGTAGTATTTTAATTTTAACCAGCGAGTTTTTCGAGTCAGAATTTCATAAACACTAATCTCTCCCTACCCTCCCTCTCTCGCGGACACTGGCGCGGGTACTGGAAACTGGACATTTGTCGATTTCCGCGCGCAATGAGCAGAAACGTGAAATATATTAAGTAACTAAAATCAGTAATATGCTAAAAAGGTAAATTTACCTTCCCACACGATGACCATCATAAAAATATTCTTTCTCCGGAACATACTCGAGTTGCCTTCAAGTTTGCAGTGAGTAAAAATTATCAAACATGTCATTTCACTTGTGGGTTAAATAGAAAGCAATTTCTAATGATTCCCCACTCTTTTCTTAGAGGCGTCATATCTAAATTATAGCCCTAAGTCGCGCATGCTTGGCCTACATTGCTTCAACATACCTTTTTATTCAACTTTGACCTACATCGATTTCCGCGATAATTGCCCCAATTTTGGTGGAATTTAAGAAATTGTTAGTCAAAGTTTTTAGATTTCCAGGTTCGAGTGGTTTGACCCACACCCTCTGTTCCATACGCCTATGCCATCTAGACCGTCATAGAGTAACAGGCCAAGAATTTTAGGTACTTTGCAGCAGGTTAATTGGGCGATTTTTCTGGACGGAATGTAATAAAGCATTTTAATCACTATGTTTGAAAAAGTTTTCAATGCAGCACGTACAATATGCATAGAATCGGGCGTAGCTGTGCTTTTAAATTAACGGAAATGTAGGTAAATTAGAATTCGATCCAAGTTTTTGCCTCATTCAGCTCACAGATACAGACTCTACAAAATATTGAAAAACACGTTGATGCTGAAAATCGACATGATTTCTTTAAAGTGCCTATATCACTTGTGGGATCTTTACGGATTTGAATAGGGCTTGAAAAATCTGCTTATAAGTTCTACAACCTTTTTTGATATAATTCAATAGTTTCGAAAATACGTCGGTTGGGACTGGGACTCAAGAATGATTTGCAAATACGCCGTCTTTTATAATGTTAACACGAAGAGTTTCACTAGCGATATAGTTTGCGCTTTCAGTCAAGAAAAAATGCCGAAACGGTGCGTTGTGTATGGCTGTACCAACTGGGCGACTTTTTCTCAAAATATTTTACGTTATTGGAAGATCAAAGTAAAATTACAATTGATTATATTATGTTTGACAACAGCTGGGCATTTTGTAGTCGCTGTCTAAAAATTGCGGGCGCATTTCTTCAAGAAAAATTTTAATTTTTCGAACGCCAAAAACAGGTATTTTGAGGAGCTTTTTCTCCTTTTTTACTGGTTTGTTCATGGAAATAAAAGAGTGTATTCAAAGATTACGTTCCCGTGCTTGCATACAAGGGTATAACGACATTCTCGCGTAAATATTTGCGAAGGATTTTTATTTGCAAATGGGCGACAAGTTGAAGTATTTCACTCATTGTCAAAGTTTCAGGACCAGGTTACAGCAGTATGCAAACAACGAATTAACCCTATTTTACTCTTGACACAAGCTGACATATTGTTGTTTCCACATGTGTGTTTATTAATCTATTTGTCCCTTCTCACGCGAAATAATAAGTACCTTAACATGCATTTTTCTATAGAAATAACACCTTTTCCTCTTTCGATTTCGCGAAAACTGACCTTTGCCTTCAGTTATAAAGTATATTTTATGAAAGTTAAATCATGTTTTGTTTTATTGAAACATTAGCCACTCATGGGAAAAATGCTCTAGATGTTGTAATTTCACAAACCACTTATGCTCTAAAAATGCCATGTTGTAACATACTTACGAACTTCCTTCTGTATGAGTTTGTTATGATGTAAAAATTGCTGCAAAAGTGATTTTAATATGTCCAAGTATTGGTTGTTATGAATTATGAAAAGTCCTATTGATTTGGTAAGTTTTAAGAATCTAACCGCAAACTCTAATATGGGCATGCTTGCTTTGTGAAATTATGTGATGCTGTGGCACATATATAAAAATATTTTAAAATTTTTACCAGTGCCTCATTCCGAAACATGGCTTAAAACTATCCATATTGTTCAAACTTCATAAAAAAGTTAGTGGGCATGCTGAGAAAAATGCGCACAATACTTATTTTTGTCTGTAAACAAACATATAAATTAGCCTGTGGGATATGTTACTTCCTATTTCTGATCATTTAACTAGAGTATAATAAAATTATTTGAGCAAAAATTTAGTATAACATTGCTTGCATCAAAATACAATAATGGGGAATCTTTAGAACCTTTCATTTTCCTAAGGGAGGTGGAAATATATATGTTTGGGCTCAATTTGGCCTGAGACTGTTGCTATAGCTGTCCATATTTCACTTTATTTTATAAAAATTATTAAATAAATGATGTAGAGGAGTCGAAATTGTTTGCATAGCACAGTTGTATATATTTTATAAATTGATTAATATGGAAAGATCAACATCTGATAAAATGAACATAACTATTTTGGTTTCAATACTCTCATGCCATAGTTCCACTGTGAAGATTCTGGTGGCTTTTTTAAGTTAATGTCCAGCTGAAAGCTGACAAATGACTGAAAGCTTCCTGCAATAAATGCTTCCTTAGCTGCTAACTAACCAACGACGACCACATTGTGACTGAAATTCTTAATTTCCACACGAAAGTGACGAACAAAGTTGTGAGTGTGACAAACCAACATATTGTTTGCTAATTTAGATCATTCGGATGCTTTCTCAATGCCATGTTTTGTACCACAAGATACAACAAAACCAGCAGTTACACCAACTTACACGTACATGATATTCTTCTTTTCGTAAAGTGCCGAATTCTTTCTTTTACTGCAAAAGATATTCAACTATCTTCACTCCTATCAGCCGCCATTATTTAAATATACGAGGTCTTTCCGAAAACTACGAAGGCGTTTCGTGTGCGTGGATGCCAAGTTCGCGCATGCTCCGTACAAAATGCCCAGCTTTTATGTTTGACAAGAACTCGGTTCCTGAGTCCCAGGCCCCCGAGCACGACTGCAATTTTGGCAAATCGTAATGTTTAGATGTAAATATTTCCGACTATTTAACTATATCAAAAAGGGTTGTAGAACTTATAAACTAATTTTTCAAACTTTATTCAAATCCGTAAAGATCCCACAAGTGATATAGCACTTTAGAATACTTAATGATATGCTAAGTTGCTAACTGATGATGAGGCCAACCTCGCAGGCCAGGCTTTTGGTACGGTATGATTAATATCATTTACCTAAAGCTTTGCTATTCAGGGAATTCAAAAGATTCACGTATATCACTGCATTTGAATCTCATCGTAATTAATGACTTGTTTTAAGCTATACTAGCTGAAATTAATGCTCTAACTGATGTGATATGGCGGTTTCTGTCATTGTTCATATCAAGAAAATTATTAACAAATATATATTTATTACTTCCTGGATTAATCAGCCGTTGTTGAAAATGGATATCAAATTAGGCCTACCTGCATTTTTAGCTCTTTAATATATATTTTATCAATTTATATAGCTTATTAAAAATAATCTCATTATTGAACCTAATATAACATAATTGCACATCCAATTCGCTAAATGTGTGTAAATGTTAAAATGTTATATACGAATAGTTTTAAAACATTGTTGTGTGAAAATAAGTGTCGAGTCCTTTTATTTTTACTATAATTTTCGGTATTGAACGCGTCTAGCTTTAACGTGTTTAGAATTAGTTTTCAATCAAAATGGTAACAAAATGGAATTGAAAACGGATATTGGTACTGAAAATAAAACCAGACAATATAAATTACTCTAGATGAAACATGTAAACATAGCTGCTATAAGCACACAAATTTTCCAATATATAGATACTAGATTGTTTTTTAATTCATGCGTGCAAGGGGAAAAGATTAGGTATAAAAATCAGCGCATATGCCATTTTATCTGTGTAATATAAAAGTATCCATTGAGACAATTTCTACAGATTTTTGCGGAAATATCATAAAGGAATAAAGAATCGAGAGAATCAGACGATGAGAGGAAAAGTGGTCGTGTACTGGGTGCTTCTTCTCACTGTTACGGCAGTTCTTTTTGAAGTAAGTGTAGCTATACATTTTAAGTTCTTATTTGCGAAATCTGTTTTAAAAAAAAATTGTAGAAGCTGAGCGGAAATTTATCACAGAGTTTGCATTATAGATCGGCCAACACGCCATTACTGTATCCCAAAATTACAAAAACTACAGCCAGGGCTTTGCTATAATAATGAATGATGTGGAAGAAAGCATTTGTACCCGACTAGCTCGTTTAGAACATGACGCTTAGCTTGAATCTTGAAATGTCACACGGTTTGGGCGCGCATCTTGCATGCAAGTCTTCTATTTTAAAATGTGGAATGTTATTAATTGGCGATCTTAAAGTCATGAGAAAGCATTTTCTTTTAACACAAGCACTTCTTTTAAAGCACTTTCTTTCAACAACACTGCAACTATATGTCAAAGCACAAATGGAACGCTTCGCTCATTCCTTGGAAACAGTGCATGTGTTATTTCAAATGTCATATATAATAAACGACCCCAACATGCGTTGTGAACGCTTGTTGTTTTGCAGTCAAACGGAATCCGCTGTGTTTAATTAAGCTTAATTTGTGAATAAAATTTATTATCATGGTCAAAAATTTTCATAAGGAACAAGATTTGATGCAATAAGTAAAACTTTCATTTACAATTCATGCGCCATTTTGTCAAAATTTTTTATGTTATAGAATTATATAAAATTATTCGCCTTAGGCTCCGTGATTATCGGTGAATATTCACGTACCTCGACGGAAGTTTTAGTATTTTTGCACAAGTAAATTGACACAAGAACTACATTTCTTCGCCTATCTCTTTGTAAGAAACGTTTACTTGTGCAAAAATACTAATAGTAGATATTGACAGACTGGAATTAATTAAACAGTGGTCATAATATTTAACATAGGCTAATAGGCATCTTTGGGAAATATGAATTTATTTTTTTTTGCATTCTTGAACGATCTTGAACCTATTAACATTAAACAATATACGAACGAGCTAGGTTGTTAAATTTTCTAGTTTTATAATATAGTTGAAATCTATTTTCAGAGAGAATTTCTCGCCGCTGGGGAAACCCCGCCTTGCCCTTACTTTCAACCCTGTACCTCAAATGATGAATGTGAATGCGAGATAGAGACATTGGTGTGTCAAAAGAAGCATAATGGAGCCCGCAGATGCATGCGGGACAATTCGTAGCCCTTTGGAAATAGTCGTATCTAAATCACCACTAACTTAAATGTATATTAAAATGTTCGGGTTGAAACAAGACTTAGGGTTATCAGTTATGTCATAATAAAATATCCATAAACTAAAATTGTAAACATTTTATTTATTTTTCATATTCAATATATTCAAGGCGTCTACTGAGCATGAAAGTTTCTCTGCTGCTTACAACTATTATTACACTATTAGCATGATAAAAATTCTGGATGCTGATTGGTTGAGAGGTGTAGAAAAAAGTAATTTAATAATTTCGCCTATAAACAAACAAATTTGCCAAAGGATATTCGCATACAAACTTAATTGCTCTGGAGCAATTAAAAAGGCCAGAAAGGAAAATATATATACATGTACAATTGAAAGTACAGAATATTGGATAGAAGTTTCGCAGGATTGTATTTTGACATGAAACTATCACACTACATGGGATTGAAAATTATGTACAAGAAAATATTATAATCAAGCGCATGAAAAATTAATATGAATAATTAAGCGCGTGAGGGGCGGATCTTGGATTTCCCAAAAATTCCAAATGACAAAAATGTCGAGAAAGTTTTCAAATCGGTAGATTGGAAATTTTACTATTTCGACTCATGTTGGGGTTCATGCATCGCAAGCCCAAAAAAGACGTACCTCCTGGGTTCCGCATAAAAAATCATGATAGCAAGTTGATTTGAATTTGATCACACATATCACAGAACATCGATCCTCAAGCCGAAAGATGAAGAAAAATATTTTAATTTTACCGAGTAAGATACATTAACCCATAGCCGTACATATGCATGAACTTTTTATACAAACCATGCCAATCGAAGTATATTAGGCTAAAAAAACACGAGTATTGATAATTAAAAAACAAACCAAATCATCAACAGAATCCAACCCTATGCGTATATTCGTAATGTTTTAATTTTATTCAATTGGTCTTCTTGCATTTCAAAAAGGCTTTGGAATAATTAAACATCTCCTTGTAGCAACTACTTTGCAACGACCAAATCTCCACATGGTAAAGGTAAAAACATAAAATTTATATGTAAAGATATTCTTCATATACACCTCGCCAATTGTATGGTTTCCATGGAGAATAAATGAACTATATATAAGACATCCTGTCAGCAAGTTTTGACAGCGAAACAGACAAAGGTTGAGAAAAAGGTAACTTTTCATAATCCCCTGTTTTTTGACGGGTTTTGAAACTAGATTTTTGTAGAGTACGCGGACTTCGGTCAGAAAATCTATAGGCCTATTGGAACTTCGTATATATACCACAGGAAATCTACTTCGTACTAAGCTATATAGCCTTTTAGGCTAAGCCCGAAGGGTAAACACGGCTATAACCATGTGATGCTGAAGATTTGAGTTCCTGGCTCATTTTTATTTCTATACTTGATGAAAACTTTGAACTTTGCCCTAACATTGGTCGTGTCTGTATTATTAATATTAGACTTAATTCTTCCATAGACTGCCTGGCACGAACAACTGAAACAAGCGAAGGGCAACGAGATAGCAAGGTTTAGATAGGCTATCGTTTGGATATCACTCTAAACCAAAATACCCGACAATATAGAGCTGAAATGGCCTCTTTATACAGTGTTGTATCCTCACGCCAATTTCAGAGTGGAAGAGGTTTTCTTGAAAAACTTGAGCTGAAGCCTGGTGACAAAGTAATAGACATGGGCTGTGGTACAGGGAAACTAACAAAATACATCGCAGAGCAAGTGGGAGATATCGGCGAAGTGATTGGTGTTGACCCAGACAGTGCAAGAATTGAATTCGCGAAAGAGAATACGAATACCATTTGCAACGTATGTTTTCATGAAGGCGACAGCAAATCTGGATTTCCGTACCAGGATGAAGCTCACTACGACCTTCATTTCAGTAATTATGTTTATCATTGGCTGAGTGATGAAGAGAAAGGGAACTACGTTAATTTGGCTTCCCGATGTCTCAAACCAGGAGGCCTGATTGCCATTCAGTGTCTCGCTGCATCAGGCGAGGCCACAATTGATAGCTTGAGTAGGTCAGCAAATGTCAGCGTAGTTGATTCACAAGCTACGAGAGAGCTGCTGCATGATTGTGGGTTTACTGATATAAATATAATGGCAAGGAAACACGCTATTAACTTTATCTTGAATAATTCTACTAGTTTATGCATAAATAATTGTCTCATGACAAGAAATTAATCAATTTTAGATAAATAGTACTTTAGAATAATTTGGATTAACAAGAAATAAAATTTGAAGTTGAAAAAAATAAAGTTTAAAATAGATTGAACATCTGTATGATCCTTTGCTGCTTGAGGTTGCTGCTTTCATCTATAAAACCTCTTAATTAAAAGTTGAAATTAATTCGCAACGAATTATACGTATTTGCGTTTTTTTTCGCTCTTCACTTAGTCGTCCATTTTGATTCGGCCGATTAACATGTAACCCACATACAGTAGCGAGGTAGGTTAAAATTTAAGGCAATGCATATGGCAATACAAACACATTTACCCCTAACCCCCCCCCCCCTCTCGCGCGAATATTTGCAACTTCAAATCGGCTGTTCCATCCTCGTTCCCAGGTTTCCCGAATGCTGCGTGTTTTCTAAAAATCCATATCTTGAAATATTTGCTGTGAAAACAATGTATACGAACACATCATAAAGGCATTGTTAATTTATTATGAACATTTGAATTAAAACCCGCCAATCAAAACACAACAAAAACAAATATGAAGATTCCCTACATAATTTATCATACAGAATATGGTCATGTCCATAGTTAGCTCGCCTTTCCCTCCTTTGTAGACGACTCCTCATTGAGTGGTTTTGATGTTATTCTAAAGCAGCTGATATTAAGATAGTTACATATTTCAGTGATTACAGTGAAGCAGTACTGAAGTGCATTCAAAGTTGAAAATATCTGAAATTGAAAGAAATCTGTTGAAGACAGACCATGCATCCGGAAGGTGTCAAAACAACGAGGTGGTGTAAAATGAGGTTCGCTAGCTCACCATAATTATACGGTAACTTGTACGAGACATTTCCCCCTCCCTCCCAATATATATATATATATATATATATATATATATATATATATATATATATATATATATATATATATATATATATATATAGTGCATCTAGGAAAGGTTGTCCGAAAATATATACATATATACAAATAGTTGTGACATGTGACCACATATTTCCATCACGTGGCATATCTAATTACGCATGCAAACGCTGCAAAATTGCTTCAAGGTTATTGCTAAGTTGGGATATTTTTGTTGTAAAATGCCTAAGCCGTATTTAGACGATATAAGATGGGGGATTGTGTGGCAGAAATTATTTTATAACAGGTCTTCAACCGGAGTTGCTGTCAATTTGTTTGTTTCGGCAAGGACAGTGAACCGCGTTTTCAACCTGTTTATTAAGTTTGGCAGGCCTCTTTGTAGCACAACACTTTACCAGCATGAGGAACTGGCAATATGTAAAATAATTCTCAGACATCCAGAGCTATACCTTAGGGAAATCGCCGATCAATTAGAAAACGCTGACAACGGGCTCTCAGATAAAATAAATGAAGGTATATTTTACTAATAGCCTGTTGTCACATTGTTTACGCTTTGCCAGCTATAAATTTAACGAAGCGTTCGCAGCGTTTGCATGCGTAATTAGGTGCGACACGTGATGGAAATATGTGGTCACATGTCACAACTATTTGTATATATGTATATATTTTCGGACAACCTTTCCTAGATCCACTATATATATATATATATATATATATATATATATATATATATATATATATATATATATATATATATATATATATATATATATATATATATATATATATATATATATATATTCAGAGATTCTATTCAGAGTAAATTAGTTATATATGCTTCTAACATCGAGAATTTTGTTCAACTCATTTATTTCTTGCTAAAGTTTATTACTTTTCGAAGCTTCTCGTGAAGCAAGATTTTGCAGCGATGTAGATACAGAATGCTGTCGCACTATGTAAAAAGAATAATGTTGACTTCTAGTGTTTTACTGCTTGATTGTGGCGATATACTCGAAGACGCAGGGCAATTTTGCATCAACTCAAGCCCATGCAACATTGAACAGGAGAAGGGAGACACGTACACAACCAGTTTTGGACTGCCAACACCCAGCCGAATTAACAATGTAAAGATATATTTTAAAAACCTACCAGACAAAACCATACCAAGCGATATTCGCTTATTGGTGAGCTAAAATGAATATTAACGGCTTGAACAAAAGGGCATAACAATACAGTGTCGACCATTGGTACACTACTTTTCGACATACACGCAACCTAAAAAAAGTTGGAGAAACAATGGATAAATAACTTGAATGCATGGTATTTAGTTGATCTAAACTTATAATAAGAGCTAAAAGTACAGTGTAGATCAATTTCCGCATTAGAAAGATTTCGGGCAGGTATTTCCATTTGCTTTTCCGAAGGTAAATGGCAAACAGTCACTATATTGAAACAAGTGGCCTGAACAGACTAGATACATTTGTTTGTATTCGGTTGATGCAGGTAAAGTTACAAGAAAAGCTCTTTCCCAATTATCGTAAAAAAATACTCCAGAACTGGCTAAAAATGCTTACATATTATTAAAATTAACAAAAAGGCCATCTCCTTGGATTTAAACCAAACTGAATGTGAAGTGTTTGATGAAAACCCTCCCATGCAAGCTTGCTAGTTCGTTATGAGTACAAAAAAAGGTTGGACCCACACGTTCGTTTCATGTCTTTGACGGGCCCAAGTCAGCCAACTTCACAGTGGGAAGGAACAGAAGTACCGCGTAAGGAAACACACGATATTCCATATATTATTTATACACAGTCTAATTCACAATGGAAAAGTTCGTATCATGAAATCGAATCCTTCAAAATAAAAGGCAATGGCCCTATAGGGGTTGTTAACACTGCGAATACGGAGTTTTTGCAGAGGCACAAAATACAAATATTACTAGAGGCGTAACTAGATTTTGTTTTCGTAATGTCCACGTCATGTACACGCCTTCACACTTGCTCGAAACTTCGCTGCCTTAGAATTCCTGGCATTTTACTGTTAATTTGTTGATTAATGATTTGAGAAATGAATTTTCAACTGCGCAAATGCCACGTACATTGCAAGGCAGAGGAAATTAAAGAAACGGGCTAGCAATAAAAAACTACGTAAATCATGATATCGATACTTGCAAAAGCCTTCGGAGTCTTTTACACACGAGGAAGACATCTGTCCATTGCTTATCTGTGGTAGTGGCTAAAGTGGGTACTGGTATCCAGTGGCCACAAGTACGAGATTCATCATTGGCTTAATTTATACTAGAGACGGATGATCCGTCTGGAGGAATGATCCGTCTGACAGATCATTTCCTACAAACACACGATCTAGGCGAACTAAGACGAACATGTCAAACGAAACAGAACCGAGCGTTTAGAAAGTTCATGCGGGAATTGGGAAATTATATATATGTGGTAAAAAGAGTTTTACCACAAAAAAAGTTTTTCACATGCAATAACCGTTTTATCTCGATTTTTTCGTAGTTCGTCCCCACCACGTATTTATACTACCTACCATTCAGATTCGTCAAAATAGACGAAAATAGACGAACTATATAATGCAGATAATTCGTATTATATAATACTCCATTAAATTTAGAACGTTTAATTGGTTGATAACGGTCATGTGATAATGAAAAGAAAATGTCATTTCCCAAGAGTGCAATGGAATACATTCATTGAGCTCTCTAGAGTGCAAATGTACTATACATTATGTTGCATTGCATTCTTTACACGATTTCAGACAAGAGGAAAATGTTATTTAATGCAAACACTACTATTCAATATTCAAGGATTCAAGATAGTGAGAGCTTGTAGTAAGCCTTTTGTTTTCGTTGATGAAAACGACATTTCTCCACTTATCGAGAAATTCATTATTTGTATATTGACGGACGATCCGTCTGTTTGCCCGTGTTTACACACAGACGAACTAGAAGACTCGTTTAGACGAATTGTCCGTTTATAGTATAAATCGGTCCATTCTCGCAATTGTTTGTCATTGTGCAAAACTCGTAGTCTTTGAAATTTCGAGCATCAGTTTGTTGATAATTTCGCATTCCCTACCGAAGGAGTTCGAGTGAGCCCAAGCAAAAACCACCGAGTTTGGCGAGAAAATGTAACGAAAAGTTTGGCTACAGAGGGAAATAATTTCATATTTATCTGTATTAAAGAATTGTTTCATTAATCCACTAATGCGCAATTGAGAATTAATGCATGATTATTTGGTACTTGGTCGTCGTGAATACAGATACATAATAGGTAATAATAGGTTCAAAATTATAGCTTACCAATAATAGAATTGAAACTTTAGCCAAAACAATACCAAACGCAAAAACGAATAAACACGGGCCTTTTGCAAACACGTTCGTGTTAGAATATGCATAATTGTAGTAGATGAGGTAGAGTGTTATCAGCAATGGTACTACAGGAGAAAGGACGCTCGTATCCTAAAGAAAACAGGAAAAAATCATTTCACACACCATTTGGGAATACTTCTCAATTCAACAAAGCATTAATTTTCTAGTTCAGCACTTAGAGAAATAAAAGAATGGTCTATATTGAATATTGGATTAACAACTGATTGAAATAATTATGCCCCAAGGACCGGTTTTCATCGGGAGAGTTCAGATCCAAATTAAGAAAAACTCGAAACGTAGCTACTGAGGTAAGAAAAGTTGTAAAAAATCATTTATACAGACGACATCTCATGTCAAATCTCGTGTGAAAAGCGATTGTTTTTTAAACGAGACTATAGTATAGTCCTCTATATGGTTTTAGCACAGTATATATAAGGTTTAAATCTATTACGCTCTCAAAGTTCACGGTTTTGGATGAACAATTTTTATATGTAGCTTATTGTATGTATAGATGTACAACTGTATATATGTGTACAGTACATTATTCCTATAATATGCATGGTTTGGTTATTTCGTCCTATTACACTATAGTATGGTTATTATATGAATTTATAGTTCCAAGTGCCAATATTTTTTTTTTAGAAAAGAGTCCTCTTAAAAAACGTAATCTTCGTCTAGATAATTTTAAAAGTATAGCAATTAAAGTGCCTATATCACTTGTGGGATCTTTACGGATTTGAATAGAGCTTGAAAAATAAGTTTTTAAGTTCTACAACCTTTTTTGATATAATTAAATAGTTTCGAAAATACGTCGGTTGGGGGGACTGGGACTCAGGAATGATTTGCAAACACGCCGTCTTTTATAATGTAAACATGAAGAGTTTCACTGGCGATACAGTTTGCGCTTTTCAAGAAAAAAATGCGGGAACGGTGCGTTGTGTATGGCTGTAGCAACTGGGCGAGTCTTTCTCAAAATATTTTACGTTATTGGAAGATCGAAGTAAAATTAAAATTGTATATATTATGTTTGACAAGAACTCGGTTCCTGAGTCCCAGGCCCCAGAGCACGATGGAAATTTTGGCAAATCGTCATGTTTAGATGTAAATATTTCCGAAACTATTTAGCTATATATATCAAAAAGGGTTGTAGAACTTATAAACTAATTTTTCAAGCTCTATTCAAATCCGTAAAGATCCCACAAGTGATATAGGCACTTTAAAGCGTTAATGAAAGTCTTTTGTCGACAACAAATCGTGATCACAAAATAATGAAATATTTTGGGCTGGAACTTGCTTTTTCAATCTCAATCTCAATTTGTTAAGTCGGTAAACTTTTTCAGATCACTTTAGTCGAGGCAAACTAGTGAGCACCAAGTAAAAAACGTTATAATCTAATTACATACCGCGATAGAAGATCCGTTTTTTCCTACACCACCTTGAAAGATTTCATAAATTCCTAATATCGTTGATAGCAGCGCAGGTATCGATGCTCCATACAAGAAAACTTCCCGAACCTGCAGCTGAAATATGGGCGTCTGAAAGAACAGAAATGGATATGGCACTGAGAAATATATGTAAAAGATCGCCTAAAAATCATGATAATAGCAGTATTATTTATCAATTTTTTACATATTAATGTTCAATTAGTGAACACATGCAGTTAAGTGCATCTATAAAGACAAACATGTTAATTTGCCTTCAAATAGCTATAAAGGAAACAATGCGAATTTCCGCCAAATTTTCAGATATATGGTGACAGTTCACGTAAGTCACTTGACTTTGTCATCGGCCGACTTCTTGAGCAAAGATTAATTCGTTTTCAAAGACGTCAAACGTTTATGTTATATAGATGCATTAAATGCAAGCACGCAATTTCGTCTAGACGAATTATCCGCCTCAAGTATAGACACAGCTATTATATCAGGGGCTTTTTTCATTGACGAAATATTGACAGACTTGTTTCCTTTTGAATTTTAAGCTTTGACTCCGTAAATGAATTGCGCGTAATGCTTCAGCAATTTAATCTGGAGTGATCTTTCGAACTGTACTGTCGAAGTTTCCTAGTCTTAAATTTACTTTAAACTGAGAAATGATTCATTGGCTTTAAAAGCATGTATATACATTTACCTCAACCCTGAATATATCTTGTCCACAAAACCCAGTGAGAAAGAATATGAATACACCTAATAATTGCAGTTCAGTCACATCAATTCTGCAAGAGAATAAAGCGTTTAATTAGGGTTAATACTATACAGTATTCTTCTGAATACGCATTCTGCAATCTTTTAACGGCTCATCATATATACACATATCTGATAGCTGTGAAATGGCCAATTTGAGGGTTAAAGTATACACAAGGTTATTAATTCAGACGATTCGTTTTTACCGTGTACAAGCTTCGGTGCAACTGAAGCATATTTTGTTCAGCATTTATAAATCGGTTCACGTGTAATCCGGCTTGGTATTTAAGAATTTCGTTATTTTCGTACCTACTATTCTGATCTCGGAAAGAGAAAAGGATAGAAAGGGGGAAAACACTAGCTGGCCCGGATTAGATGTCGATCGATTCAATGAGGTTTTCATCAAGTGATTTGCATCCGCGATTTTAACTAAAAGAAGGTCGGATTTCATCTTTGAAAAAAGGTGAAATACGGCTTTTTATAAAAGCAAAATTAGATATTCTCTCATATTTTAGGTGTTTTCATGACCTTAATAGGAAAATTTGTCACCATCTTATGCGAAATTGCCTTATTCAGCACAAATACTTTGAACAAGCCTGAAGTGTATCTTGTCCCTAATAACCTTTGCTATTTTTTTTAGCTTTTCCAGCCGATCATTTTTGTCTTTTAAAAATCTCTACATCTCATGTAAATATGATTCAGGTTTAAATCTTAATATAGAGTTTAAATACTCAATCTTTTGTCTTCGACTATAGAAATTGCGACCAAAGCGTTATATATTCATGCACATGCGTCTTTTGATGTAGAACGATAACAGGGGGGGGGGCTTTATTCACATATTCAGTTTTGCTAGACGGATTTCCTTTGTAAGGCCCAGGTCAAGCGTCGCTGTAATGATGCAAATGAAGCAAAGACTTTAATTCATTTGCATTAGGTTCGGCGCATGAGAAGAGCGACGTTTGACCTAGGCCTAAGATCGTGCAATAGCTTACAATGGAAATCCATCGGTTAGAACTGAATATAAATAACCGCCCCCTTCTCCCCCCAATTATTGTTCTAGTTATGCCCCTGAGAATATCAGCTATGTAGTCTCTTACTTTCCAAAGCGAACTACTCCACTAACATATGCTCGCCAATGTGTAAGGTAGAACATAGCACCAGCAGCTATGCACATAAACATCATCAAGTCGGGTAGATCACCTAGTTTCATAGCTACAGATGCGCCAGTGATAACAACTACCATAGATATCGCATCACAACCATGATCAAATAACTCCCCGAGCGGTGAACTGCTCCCAGTCCTACGCGCCTGTTTACCATCCACTGCATCCAAAGTTTGATAAACAAATAACCCAAGTGCATTAAAATGAAGACTCCATGATGGAACCTGCAGAATGAAAAAAAACGCCGTGCATTTTCTGGACGAGGGGTGGACTTCCTTAGGGGGAGGGGGGTGCATAACCTAGCTTCAGGATCTCACTTCCCACACGCTCAAATTTTCTTGGATGAAATTCACAAAAACTGTTCACAGTAGTTAGGGGAGTAGAGGCCTGGGGGCCTTAGCTCTCCTATAATGATTTGGCTGTGACTGACTAAAGATCTTAAGGTAGATCCGCACAGTTTTGACAATTATTTAATGCACACTTTAAAGTGCCTATATCAACCTCAGGGAAATAACCTACTTAGATAGATCAGACGATTTTAAGAACATTTGCAATATATTTGATAAGACGAAAATTTGATCTTCATGTACTTTTCGGGCCTCAAAGTTGGCTTTTTTCGTGTTTGACCGTGAGGTGCTGTGAGTGGGAACTAGTTGCCCTTTTTCAGCGGAAGTGACGTACATTGGAGAACACGCTAATTTTGTAAACAAGAAACACGCTTTAAAAATATAGAAGTATTGCGGCAATACAGTGGGAAATCTTGTAGTATATAAACTTTTTGGTTCGTTTTTCGCTAAAACGACGTCGTCAAGTTTTTCCGACAACTTAGACAGCCAACTTGATTCGGATGTTTAATTCATCCCGGATTATGTGTTGCCGATATTGGAAGTTGAAGACGATGCGATACTGTTGCTTCAAGAGACAGTACACATGACGGTTTATATCAACCTAGCCTGCGCCGCAGACCCATGCCCGAAATAGAAAGGCGGGGAAGAAGAGGTATTTCCGCCATATTCCGTCTATGCGTAGACTAATATCAACCTTACCAAGACAAACCGATTGCTGACCGTGCCGAGTATAATGAAGACTAAAAGAGGGTAGTGTACATGAAGAAAGAAGGCAGCTTCTTTCATTCGCAAAACAGCTGGGCTATCCCAGTGTCAGATTGGTCAGTGAAATATATAAAGGCACTATATCATTACATATAAAGCACTACATATACTGACATTTCACCCTATTGTTTCACAATCAATAGGGTTTTTGTAGGTGCAAATATAGAAATTGCATGATCGATCTCTTGGTAAATGAAAACATAGATGGAAGGAAGTATAAATGTGCAAGGTGATTAAAACAGGCAAGTATTCAAAAATAACTAGTGGCTAATATGCATGTCCTTTAGCCATTTAAATTCATACAGGATAATTTAGAATAAGTTCTCAATACTTCACATTGATCTATATTGTATATGCTTATGATTCCATAAGACAAAGGTTTGAAAGTTTTAATGATCTTTCCTCCAAAACTTTGTCTGGAATGGAATCATGAGCACATGTCGACAAAGGTATTCTTCTCTCTCCCAAGTAGCCATAAATCAATAGACCTTTTCATCTTGCATGCAATTGTGACTTGAATTGGGTTAATTTGCATACAAGCTGAAAAGGTCTATTGGTTTATAGCTACTTGGGAAAGAGAAGAATACCTTGGTCAGCATGTGCTTATGATTCCATAACCAGACAAAGTTTTGGAGGAAAGATCTTTAAAACCTTCAAACCTTTGTCTTATGGTATCATAAGCATATACAATATAGATTAATGTGAAGTATTGAGAACTTATTCTAAATTATCATGTTTGAATTTAAATGGCTAAAGGACATGCATATTAGCCACTAGTTATTTTTGAATACTTGCCTGTTTTAATCACCTTGCACATTTATACTTTCTTCCATCTATGTTTTCATTTACCAAGAGATTGAACTTGCAATTTTTACATTTGCACCTACAAAAACATATATTTATATTGATTGTGAAGCAACAGAGTGAAATGTCAGTATATGTAGTACTTTATATGTAATGATATAGTGCCTTAATATATTTCACTGACCAATCTGACACTGGGATAGTCCAGCCGTTTTGCGAATGAAAGAAGCTGCCTTCTTTCTTTATGTACACTACCCTCTTTTAGTCTTCATTATACTCGGCACGGTGAGCAATCGGTTTGTCTTGGTAAGGTTGATATAAATCGTCATGTGTAGGCGGTACTGTCTCTTGAAGCAGGTTGAACCACAACTGTGGTTGAACAGTATCGCATCGTCTTCAACTTCCAATATTGGCAACACATAATCCGTTGTCGAAAGTCTAAGTTGTCGAAAAAACTTGACGTCGTTTTAGCGAAAAACGAACCAAAAAGTTTATACACAACAAGATTTTGCACTTTATTGCCGCAATATTTCTATATTTTAAAGCGTGTTTCTTGTTTACAAAATTAGCGTGTTCTCCAATGTACGTCACTTCCGCTGAAAAAGGGCAACTAGTTCCCACTCACAGCACCTCACGGTCAAACACGAAAAAAAGCCAACTTTGAGGCCCGAAAAGTACATGAAGATCAAATTTTCGTCTTATCAAATATATTGCAAATGTTCTTAAAATCGTCTGATCTATCTAAGTAGGTTATTTCCCTGAGGTTGATATAGGCACTTTAAGGGAAAATCAGCATATCCAGTATTTAGCCAGAAGTCAAAATGGGAGTCACAAATGCCAGGTGGCACCGTGGCAGGCTAAAATTTCCAAATAAGATCCAGCATGAAATTGGCACGAGAATAGAAATCAAATAACAAAATCAAAAAACTTATAATATAGGAACACTAAAGAAAAACAAATATTTTATTTGACAACAAGCAGATATTGAACTATTTCTTAACTTAAGGTGCTGTTACACAGTGCAATTTTTCTGAAACTTGCAATGCAATTCTACTTCTAAGAGATGTAAATTAGTGAAGAAGAAAGAAAAGAAAAGTGCATGAAGTGCATAAACACAATAGTTTCATTGTTCCCAAATCTATACATCTCTCAAAAGGAGAATTGCATGCAAGTCTCAAGAAATATTGCACCATGTAACAGGGTCTTTAAGCACCCAGCAATTAAGTAGCATAGTGAGAGTTGGTAATGAAAAAGTAATATTGAGCTCTTGGAACTCTTGTGGTGTTGACAAAAATTGGCATTTCATTGGAGACAAATAATGTGCATACAGATCTGTTGTGATATTGGTAACAATAATGCCTAATTCCTATCATTTCTGAGCACTGAAGCATACAACAGGCTTGAAGTAGGTGAATGCAGATGCAATAACTTTCTATTATTAATGCTTTAAATGATCTGATATTTTAGTTATATTATCAGATTGTTTATCAATTTAAAATACAACATTCAAGAACTTCAATATTTAAATCTTATAAACTCAATAACTGATTACTTCCATTTCAGTACCAGCTGAGAGCCTGTTCTGCTTAAAGTTAATACAATATACACTTTTAAATGTATGCTCCCGAGGGAAATAGTGAGTTTTGTTTTCCCAAGAATCTGAATGTTTTGAAAACATTGAGACTCAAGGGAAAACAAAACTCACTGTTTCCCAAGGTGTAGCGAACATTAAGTGTTAAAGTTATATAGGAACAAAAACATACATGTTACAGGACAATTTCAATTTAAAAAATTTTGTTATGAAAATATGCAGACAACAATTTTTCACTTGTTTCCCTGGCGGGAAACATTGCATTTATTCAAAGTCATGTGACTACAAATGAACCAATCGCATTTAAAATACACAGCACATATATAACAAACTTCATTATTTATCAAATTGATAGGAAACAAGATCTGTAATACACAAGCCAAAGATCATAAGCAGGAAAATATTTCTTTACTACAGCTCAATTACCTTGAAATGAACTAAAAAACTGTTTACTTATACTCTGTGTTCCAGCTGAATAATTATACATATGCGAATTACTGAGTTGTACTTATCTTTCAATAATTTAAAACCTGGTCTTCGCATTTTGAAGCTTATTCTGTACGAAAATTAAACACTTGTGTTGTTAATACAGTGTATTGTAAAATTGTATTGTTTAGTAATTATATTATGTATTGTACAAATTAGATCATATATTAGTACTGGATATGATTAACTGAACTTTATCTTTTAATATACCATCAGTTTGAGAGCAAATGATTCATTGCAGCAATGTAATGACTGTCGTAACTCGTAGAGGTTTCTCAATTTAATGTTAGCCCCAAAAGTTAAATTAAAATAACTTTATCAAATACAAGAACTGTTGATTTCTGTTAATAACTGTTAATTTAAGATCAAAATAGGCAATAAAAAATATTGTGTATGTGGTTGAAGCTCAAGGAAAACATTGCTCCCACAGCCTCAACACCCATATATACAGCATTTTAAATGTTAATATTTAACACATGCTGAAGGACTCCCAGCTGAAATAATAACATTGCAGGTTATAAAAATCTGATAATACAGCTTTTAATGACTGAAGACGGCATTTTATATCAATACAATGCTATGCCTACGCTATAAATCGAATATTTTGGTTTAAGCAATAGGAACTACTTTGATAAACCTAAATAGAAGGCTTGCTACGTTTATTAGCCAAGAGATAGTTAATTATTACACACAATGTTTATTATGTTTACATGGCATAGCACATGCATTTAATATCAAGGGCAAATGTACTGAAGTATTACGCTTACCTCCGATCGAGCTTGAGGCGAGAAATAGACTAAAATCAAAGTTGTAACCAAGTTAGTAATTAATCCCAAGATTGTTATAGTGTTCGGCGCTATCCACAGTGGCAATCTCTCTACAAACCATCGCCACCAAACTTGCATGAAAGGATCGAACAATGTTGTAACGCTTGCATTATACTTGTGCTTAGCTAGTCTCTTCAACTGTGATTCACTTAAGACTGCGACCATATTGATTCTCCTAAAATATCGTATAATCGTTCAGAATATTGATTTAATGTTCCCTATTGCATAAACTGTCCACATTAATAAACGCCATGTTTTCGCGATACAGGACGCCGCCGGGCAGGCGATAACATCTATGTAAAGCTCTAATTGGTCATTCCGCAACATTCGATGGCAACTGATTGGCTCACGATTATGTAATAATTTTAAAGATTACCGATTACTGAAATTACATAGAAAATGGTCGTTAAAAGCGAAATAGTCAACACAGGATGTTTAAAAAAAAACGAAGTGTAAGCAAAGCGATTCGACATGCCTCATCGAATAGTAACATTACTATGTGTACATATACATATTGTACAGATTAACTCGTCGCTCCGATACAAGTTATATAAAATCCCCCCCCCCTCGAAAGTATATAGTCTGTAATTATTATATAATATTACTATACAGAATGAGAAAAAAAGTGATAGTGATGCCTTTCAAATTCATCCTAGGCACATAATTAAACAGAAATTGCCTACGGGTTTTCAATAAAGCCCCGTACAGCATGTTTTTCTTGACAAGTTTTTGACCAGATCATTTGCTGAGGTGTATGCCGAACAAGTTTTCCTTGCCAAGTTTTATTTTCTCGTGTGTACGCGAAAAATTTGACAACTTTTTCTTGACAAGTTTTACGATGATAAAATGAGTATATAATAGAAGACAGAATCTCAAAACAAACATCTCAAAAAACCCGCTCAATTGGCTCGAAGAGTATTGTTGCTCAGCTTCCCATTACGCAATTCCTTCTCAAGCTTTCCTTGACGGCCGTACACACGAGCATTTTTCTTTGTTAAAGCTGGCATGACTAGCTTTTGAACTAGGCTCTTTGTCAAGGAAAACATGGCAATTTTTTCGCGTACACACGAGCAAAAAAACTGACTTGGCAAGGAAAACTTGTCAATGAAAACCCCGTCTGTACCGGGCTTAACTCATGGCTATACGAAGCATGTCAAATAAGTTAGCATTAATTAGTCTGAAACATAAATTGTGACCCTTTGGAAGTTATAATGTTGCGATAAATAATAATTAAAAGTGTGGAAATTTGCAAATTTTGCATGGAACTGGACGACTTTTTATTTGTCAGTCATTTTACTTGTTGACAAAACACGATGGTTAGCCAACCACTGAACAACGAGTATTTGTTTTTAACATATTTTCATACGTGATTCGACACATTACGGCAAACGCCTGACATGATTCAGAGAGTGTTTCGTGCTCACTGCAATGCACATGCGAACAATTTGTGTTGAAAAACTCTTTGTGCTGAAAGAAACGGTGGTCATGTTGAATGACATGGCGTATAGCTTGTGAACATTTTTTTATTATAATCTCTGTATAATAATAAACCGTGTATCAAGTAGTTTTTATAGCAACTGCGTCACGTTGAATCAGCCTCGTATACTATAAATATAGGAGACTTCAGGTTTTTACATAGATCAGTGGCTGAGCTGAGTGAGCGCGAAGGTATGTGAAAGTCTATAGTGTGTGGTAGTGTGCCTATATTTAATTTGTAGTTATTTAAAGCACCTGGGTACGGGGTTGTAAAATTGGCCAGTCATAAGTTCGCAGCTAATTTAAAAATGAAATTGTATCACTTTTTTTACTCAACCTGTATACTTTTATTTATGTACTATTTTTTAAAGGAATATCAAAAAGCCTGTTTAACATTTTCGCCACGTAGAAAGAAGGAGAGAATTTCATGTTAGAATGTGCATGATAACAATGTGAGGACTCTCTGACCCTCTGATGTAAAAAATACCCAAACCTAAATTGTGTTTTAGTATATAAGAAGTATTGAAGTTCAAAATGTAAACAAATATGAACTTGACTTCCAAGTTGCGCCTTTTGCTTAATAACAAAGTTCGACTATTTTTATGGTCGGTCAGACAGAACGATGAATGTCACTATTATCCACCCACTACCCACCAAAAAAGGTCAGATTCATTTTACAAATTAACCTTATTTCAAATTTCACTCAGAAAATTTCAAAAATCTACATAAATTAGCGGGGTAAATACCGATTCGGTTTATTAGGGGTTACTTGCCTCCCATTAATTTCTTTTCTGATAACTGACAACGTACGCCACTTTCACTGACGAACACGGCAAAGGTTTTATCATGATTAAACACGACAGTAGTTCACCACGCGAACTCCAAAGATATCTACAAAACTACGAAATCTCTGGCCTATGATTGGATGAAGCCGATTTGAGTCTGATTTGAATACTAGCTAATCGTTGGCGGGAGCCGCGCATGCGAGAAAAAACAACTTTAAATTCGACCGGAGACGTGCAATGGCGACCTTATATTCAATTGCTGCGTTATCGTTCCAGTCTGTTTTGAGTTCACAACCCGAAGGCAATAGTTGCTTCTTCCAGTTAGTAACAGATCAGTGCCTCTACTCGTAAGCTCATTCCTGGAGACGAATGATAAATGATTTCTTCGATCATCGAATCTACATGCAACTAATACGTGCGACCTTTTTCAGATCATAAAACGGACGAAAATCTTCGCGCACTCTCCCATTTTAGGTTCCTCCAGAAAGTTACCATTCATCAGTGACATATCAAGACATCTTGAGAATCAAAATATTATTCAAACAAGACACATATTAAGACTGTAAATTTTCTACTTTATTACAAAGTCATCTTCAGACAGAATATCATTCTGTCAACAACAAAATTGTAAAATGGCCCGTTGAAAGTCTGACCGATTATATATCTTCCGAAAATAAATTAAGTAAGTTTTGTCCAAATATCGGTACTCTTATTAGGGTCTGGATCTTCGCCAAATAGCTTCATGTTCTCATGTACCCATTTGAGAGCTAATATCTGATCAAAAAGTGCAAATTTAAACTCTAGGCAAAAAAAGAATTGGTTTGACCAAGTGTGTTGGGGAAAATTTCATCACGCCATCTCCAGGACAGATAGATCGTCATTTTGTGGGGAAGTCTTGGACTGGAGCACCCTAAAAATCTTACTGGGCTCGCGATCAAGCTCTTTGTGAGCTAATCCTACGGTATAATATGTCCATAGATAAATTGATAATGTTATGTTATGGCACTGCCGTCCGATATCATAAAGATTGCAACTGCCAAGATTGAACAAATGATGTTTTATAGTATTTGTCTTGTAATGTAGCAGTATAAATCCACCAAAGCTACAGCACTATACTGCTTCATCGATAACCGACTATATACCATACATCAGAAGTGAATTGGATCCAACAAAATTGGATCGTGTGAACAGACCTTAAGTTTTCCAAATATAAACTAGTAAAGTTTTACGTCTCCGGATGAAAATCTATGGTGACCTCACCAATTAAAACTAAACTAACTTATGCTTTTATGCATATTCAGCAGCGATGAATATCGAAAACATGCAGTCAACACTTGTAAACATCCATAATGGCGTTGCAAAATGAATTGGTTGCTGAGGCCTAGCCTGAACACAGACTTTCGTTTCGCCCGCCTTAAAACGAAGGTCTGTGTTCAGGCTAGCTGATGCCGTATTGGATGTTTACTTTCATACTACGCATGCGCTGTTAAGACAATCCGTAAGCACATAGCTTTCATTTAGCCGCACACGGAAGATTTGCGGCACGCGAGGAAAAAATTATCAAACATGCTAGATATTTGACGTTATCAGTGGCACGAATGACCAAAGTTGCCGGAAACTGCATGAGTCGACCGCACACGAGAGCATCTGGATTACATGCATCAATGGCCACGAATCAATTTTTGCTAAGCACATAGCTCTAGTGTGCGACGGCGTTAACAAAGAAATGATCAAACAAACTAGTATCCGCCTAATACTCGTTACACTTGCACTTTGCACTACATACAATTTGAATGACAAAAATTGTGACATGCATGCGCCCCATGTAATTTCCTCATCGATATTGACCTCCTATTGTTCTCACAAAATACGAAATAAGAACAATGATATTTTTGTGCCACTGTTTTGAACGAATATCGTTTTATACGATAGCTGAATTTTTACACATTCAAAACGGGGAAGTCGTTTAGGATGGGAGACTCGACTGTAAAAACCCATCTGATTATAAATTGTTGGCATGGATAAATGCAAACGAGTGATCGGTAAGGCTTGAAAAGATGTGGTAATTATTATGATAAATATTCTTTTACCCGTGACAAACGCAATACTAATCCCGGATCGTGTAACTGGGACCGTAACATGTTATATAAAGGCTTATACAATCTGAAAATCGGTTTCAAAAAAAGTTGGTCGTTGATGAACTTGATTTTGATCGATTAAAAACGAGATAAAAATCGACCCTCGGCCCTTAGGAAACATTTAATAGCCGGCCATGCAGCATAAACAATGATTTTTTTCACGCTGAGTTGAATAATTTGATGTCGTGAGTATACGATATGGAATACACCACCATTACTACGAACCGGTATATTCCATCATTCCATACTTGTAAGTTTGATATTCGGTGCTAAGTTCGTAATACATTTTAAACTTTAATTATGTTTGAGTCTTCTATTTAAAATAGGCAAGTTTTAATTTGTGACTCTGAAAGTCTGAAACATTTCTTGAAGCCGTACGACTATTATAAATAGCAGATTTAAGTCACATTGACTTGGACCCACTTGGTTAGGCCCGTTTCGGACGTCGAATTTCTCTAGGGAACGTACCGCCGTATCGAATGCAAACGAACCTAAACAAAGACTCAATATAACCAGGGAGCAGCGTGGCAGCGTCTTCAAACAACTTAGCATCAAATGTGGTATAAAACTGCCTAAAATAGACAAAACATTTCTTGGCGTTTCGACCTGGTTGTTCAAAGCTAGGTTAGGGCTAACCCTGGGTTAAATTTTAAGCCAGTGTTTCTATTTATGTGCTTCTGAACCACTGTTCGTTTTGAAACTTTAGAAAATATGACTTCTATCGGTACGGAAATATTTATGAAAAAAATTTATTCAACTTTGTAAACAAGCGATATAAAAAATCGATGTAAAGATTTGCTTTAACCCAGGGTTAAGCTAACCGGCTTTTGAACAACTGGCCCCTGAAGGCCTTCGTCATGAGAGTTGGTATGATATGAGAGTTATCATACAAACTCTCCTGACGAAAGCTCTAGTCGAGGTTCAAACGTCGAGAAGTGTTTTGTCTATTTTAGGCATTTGTTATCAAACAAAGACTCATTAACATTAAGTTCGGCACATGAAAAGTTCGACGTCTGAGACAGACCTTATAGCCTGCGAAATATTGGCATGCACTATTGCCTCGAAAAATGCAATACAGTAGTTGCTATCTAAGTTCAATGTCCTAATCAATTAATTGTGTTAACGTGTTCTAAATAACTCTCTTTAAAGAAGCCCTAATTGTACGTGGAAGCTATAAATACCCAGTTAGTTGGCGCTGCGAGCCTTTGTCATGTCCCACAAAATCCAACTGGCTTGATTTTGTGCGACGTTTTGCAGCGGCAAATTTGCGTCGGAGCGAAAACGTTTTCACTCAAAATTTCTCTGTTTATAGGCGATGAAATTTGTCGCTGCGATGTGTTTTGTTAGCACTAAAATGTAAAGCGAGAAGCACCGATTTGAATGCCTTATTCAATTACTATGTTATTTACCAGTGCATGCAATTCCAACGGAAGCTTCATTTCAAGAGGGGGTACTTTTTTCATTCATCCTTTTACCGCAAAAAAGTACCCTTAACAACAAAAGAATGATTTCAACAGAGGGTACTTTTTTGGGATATATGGTATTATCTCTCCACGTTTATGCATGATGTTAGAATTTAATAGAGCATTTGAATATTTCAACTCCCAAAGGCTAGGAGCAAGTGATGTTTTAAATCAATCACCACTGAACTTTTGTCAAAATTACTGCGGCTCAGCGGGAAATTTGCATATGAACAGCATCAGTTTATATACCCACCCTTTACTTTATGTGTCACAGATACATGCATGCTTTGTTCAGGCTGCATTACGCCGCCAACCATCACTCGGTTGAAAAACGTGGCTTCATTAGACTGGCTGTTTCACAGAGGCTATAGTTCTGGGCTACTACAGTTCCAGACCTAAATCAAAATCGAACAACAATGTCAAGCGAGAAAACTCCACTCCTACATTCTGGCAAAGATTCAAGGGTAGGATCTAAAGCTTCGTCGAAGGCAAGGTAATGTTTGTGGATGTTCTTACAGTCATGTCAACTTGTGTGACAATTCAATTTTATACCCTGAGTACTACACAAAAGTGTTCGAACACTTGCTTGTATTGTACAATATAGATTCTCTACTCAGATACTATTTTATACGAGCATGTTTCATGCAAATATAATATTTCGAAGCTAAACCTGTACTCAGATAATAAGACACGGCTAAGTATACATATCCACGTACGTAACTGCAAACAAAACCCCCGGAAGAATTCGGAAATTTGGGATACATGCACAGCATGCAATCAAAGGGGTCAAGGGCGCTTATATATAAACGCTCTGAAAGGGTCTGTTACACGGTAGAAGTCGCTCTAACACTGGCCGTTGTTTAGTATAACTTTGCTTAAACGTTAGTAATCTTATGTTGAGGATATATTTGCTTAATGATTGCTACCTCCTAGCGTATAGCTTTGTTGCTTTTCTAGCATTTTTACAACTATTGAAAAATCACTATCTCTTGGAAGGCGCTATGTAGCCTTCGTATACAACCGGCGCCAGTTCATTTTTTTTGCCATGCACATGGCCGACAATCCCATATAAAAATATGACTTAAATCGCTAAATTGAAGGAGTAACTATAATTATGCTATTAAGGTATTAAGCTATAAGGAGACCATGCTTTGCATTAAGGCGAAAAAGCGCCCATTCGACCAAGACGGAGCTTAAAAACAAAGCGCGCTTCGCCCACGCGGGCAAAGCAACTGGAAGGGAAAATTGCCTTTGCAGGCGAGGATTGCAGAATAACCCTCCATTAATGATATTACATCGTCTAGCTATACTGTTTCACTGGATACGCGGATTCGCAGTCTCAGTTTTAAAGGCAATCACAAACGGTCGGTGGAAATTTTCATACCTATTGATCAGGCAGTTCACTCACTTCACTGGAGCAATGAAGCCACACGTTTTGTGTTATAGACTTTCGTGTCCTGGACCTTTTGAAACATTAAAGACTAGCCCTCTGTCAATTGTCAAATGGCTCGATCCTATAAGCACCAGGCCCTGTTCACACCGTAACGGATTGCCAGAACAAGTTAAATTGCGAATAAAAGACTGTATAGAGGTCTTTAATGTCCGAGATCTGAATAAATATACTAAGTCTCTCAAATTAAAAAGCGTTGGCTAATAATGCATGGTTGCTTTATATTGGCAAACGAAGATGTCGTGACGAGCGAATCCGGCACCGTGTGAACGCAGTCTCAGTATGGATAAAATATAAACGTTTACTAGCTACCTTGAAAAAAGAAACCTTTAGCTACCTATACTAAAACAAAATCAAAATCTCTTTGAATCTACTATGTCTGTAGTCATGCACGTTAACAAATTTTAGATATTCTCAATAACCAATTGTTATTTCAATAGCGGATTTTTTATTCATAATATATGCATAATATAATTGTTATCGTAAGGCAATAATGACATTTATATACTTTCAAACATTACATCGTTCTTTAAAATATTAAACGACTGCGTATCCACGTGTCCACACAAAATATACATTTATCTTACGTCATATATTTCTCATGTCTTATTAACTTATGCTTCGTTGCTTAAAAAACTTATAGCTACATTTATCTTACGTCATATATTTCTGATCGCTTAACTTTTCCTTCCTGCTTTACCTATTCACGGCGCCTCGTTTAGAAAAACTATAATATAACTATACACATCCACGTATCCATGGTATTTTAAACGCAACGTCTAAAAAAATACAATCTGTATTTTGCAATCGCTCCAAAGGCGATTTCATTACCGTCCGAACGATAATTTCACCCACGCGAACGAAGCGGCTCTTGAAAATGCGCCAATGCGACTAACACGGGGCTTAAAAACAAAACGCACTTCGCCCGCGCGGGCAAAGCAACTGCAATGGAAAATTGCCTTTAAGGTTGGATTTCCTTTCAGTGCAAAATGTCACGCTATCGATTTTTTGCGACGCTTACCTTATAATTGTGTTCTGACATTCAAGTTCATCTATAATCTGATTAGTTCTGTTTGTATTTCAAAACAAAGCGATGGCAAAAAGTCGATCGCGCGACATTTTGCACTGCATGGAAATCCGCCTTTAAACCAAAACCAACCACAGAAACACTATCAATAGACAATACATTCATCGCACTGTATACCTAATCAAATCATTATTATGCCATGGCAACATTTTCCCACTTTACACACTTTTCTCATCCCGCGTGGAGACCACGCATATTTTCGTGAGTAAACTACCAGGGAAAACGTTACAATGTAACGCTTTATTTAAATACACCGACATTAATCCCTCTATTATGAAAGAGTGTTCTATTAAGTTATTAATTAAAGAAAAGAGTTAGTAAATTGAGTAAAATTTTTTTTGAATCCTCAGTATTATGCGAGTAAACCAACCAGATTAAACGTTATCATCGCATTCGTCGAATTTCACTTGCATAAATCATTAATACTACCATTTGCGTTCAAGTATGAAGCGTAAGCCGTAAACGATTTAACGGGTTTGTTTACGTTTTAAACATTGGGAATTTGGGATTACTCGTTCAAGTTCAAACTAAGAAGTTTACGCTTTTACGGATTTTAACCATGACCATTGCTCATTCCGGTTATCAACTAGGCGGAATTTTTCTACCGAACGGAATTTTCTTTTCAATTGTGAGAAATATAATAGTTAACATTCACCGAAGGTCCGAAGGCAATGCAAAGTCTCATTACTGAACGAAACAATCGTTAAAATACAGTTTCCCATTGGCTAACAGCGCTGAATCCGTAGAATAGCAAGCTCTTATTGGACAAACGGCTTAATTTATTCGCAGGAAAGTTGCCAGCTTGGAGAATTACTGAACGCTTGCATGCTTACGTACGGAACGCGAACATGGAATTTGCTTGCATGAGGTGTTATAACTTTGGTCCTGTGGCATGTCACAAATTTTATATTTCACAACTCGGGGAAACGGTATACAGCTTAGTGAGCTTACTCACTAACTTAAGACTTAAGTAACTTTCTAGGATCGTCGTGCATGTAGCTCTGTGCAACTGAATATATCCCAGTTTTAAATCATAGTAATTGCTTGAATATAATATTACGAAAATATTTCTTTAATTCTTAAATTCTTAAATCTGCTCATGAATCAAATGATATTACTTCACTGTACATGTAGCGATAACAAATCGTTATTTCACAGGGGGTAAGGTTTTATATAACTCGCCGATAGAAAGGGATCGCTATATATATGGAAAGTTTTATTGCTCTTTATTACGTTGTCGGGGCCGCACAAATAAATAATGTTATTCCTTTGTGACTCTTGTGGCTTCGCCTAGAAACGTTTCATATGCATGTTTTTAAACTCTGCACCGACTGCACGATTATGAACAACTTGACATGTACGACACGATAAGTTAGGAAATCTAATGATCTATAGATTAGGCGTGTACAGGTACCGACATAGCTATGTTCGACCCGAAATTGATGTTAGCGAATTGAAGCACAATAAATTCTTCTGAATTTGCACATTCTACAATACAAACGATAAGTGCATATGAACATGTACATATATTAAAAAATAATGCTGCCAATCAGATAATGCTTCCACACTTTCGCAACAGAAATAAAAAATATGATGGACTTCCCTTGGTAAACAAGGTCAGAACTGTATGTAAAACTAATTAAAACTGAGTTCCTAACAATCCGGTCTTATTTCATGTCACGTCCGCGTCGAGGATTTGGTGCATCTTAGAAGCTGTTTACATAAGCCCGGTTATTCGAGATAGATGATTCGGTGGATAACACGATCCTGGCAGTCGTATAATAACCACAACGATAGCATGTGCTTGTTTGGTGTCACAAAGACTTATTTCAATACCTCAAAGTCCTCTCACGCTTCGTTGAATCTCGCGCAACCGGGCTAATGTAAACAGCTCCTTAAAGTGTATATGCAAGGAAAAATGATAAAATCAAAATTGTGAAATTCCGAGATACTTTAATGTCCTGGACTAGATAAAATACTTTTTGGTTGTAAAAGCACTGTTAAGGTAAAATCTTCAAATCAGCCTGAAACATACGGGAATTACCCATTTTTTCCATCGTAAATTGTTGAAAAACTGGTACCGAGAGTTTCGGTCTTGTGACGTATGCAGACACAGCGTGTATTCGTGACACAGCTGAGCTGCTTGGCTGCACGAAAGCAACACAACATTACCGATCGCGACTCGCAAGACAGTGACTTATTTGTTGCAATAATCGCACGATGTCCGATAACGAAAGCTTGGAATCACAGACGGCTAAAAAACAGTCGACAGATAGCGAAGACGTTGCTGAACAGTCGTCTGTTGTACAGCCTTATGAGCTTGAGCCGGTTGCCGACAGCGATTATGAGGAAGATGAGGTAGACGAAACTGACGAAGGCGGAATTTTGCTCGAAGAAACCCTCGAAGCAAAATTAAAAAAAAAAGGAGCAGCCAGTTCGTGGTAAGTTTGGGAAGACAATTTTATTCTATAATGTTAAATTATTCCTCATATTCTGCAAATCTCTATTGACAAATGAATTGTTTATAATATTTCATTAAAATTATTGTTATTGTTATTGTTTTTATACATAAAACGTGTACATTTCAGTGTGTACAAACATGCAAGCAATAAAAGTTATGTTTTTCTATCTACTATTACGTTATTGGCTATACAATATATATTTAGGAAATATATTTACAATTAAAAAAAGGCTTTGTTACAATTATATACTAATACTTTTACTAAGAGACGTTTCCGTTAGCATTGTTTTCTAACATATTTTTCTTTAAGTGCTTCCTTGAAAAGATAACTTTTTTAAATTTCAGCTCTTCATCATATTTCAAATTTTTGTTCCTCCATAGCGAAAACTTCTTTTCACCAGGGGGAATGTTGAGTTTATTCCGGGTGTTCATTTTGCGAACTTCATTCCCTTTTAAAAACTGGTCGCATAAATACAGCGGTTCAAGTGCGTTCATGCATTTGTAAGCGATTAGTGTGTCTCAATACTGTAGATATTATGTCATCGTATTGGTTATAATCCTGCGAGCAAAATTTTATACTGTTTCAAGTTTTTTTTATATTTGTTGCCGATGTATTTGATCACACCGTAGAGCAGTAATACAATTTGCTCATCACTAAGGCATTGACAATCGTGCATGTAGAGGGTTTCCCTATCGAAGCTGTCCTTTAGTTTTGCTATTAAAGAGGATATGACGTGTCGTATATGATGATCGTAACTTAAATAGCTAGATATTAGGGCTAAATTGCACACCCGTCCACTAGTTATTGATATCACTGTGTAGCCTTGCTAATGGCTAAGCAGTGGAATCTAAAACTATGATCAAATTGCATGCACATAACTGTGACTGTATATATAGGCTGTATATTAGGGCTGGATTTCCATTGACAGAGAAATTGTTTGCTGGCGAAATATTTGCATATATTTTCTTTAGAATTTAACAGCAGAAATAAATTAGTTCAACTTGACTGTTCTTAATTCAAAAGAAAAGATGCAAATATTTCGCACGCGATCTATCTCATTGCAAGTGAAAATCCACCCATACTGGCTACCTGCTACGCAAATATTCCGCTAATGAGCTAAGCATTAATACGTGGCCTTAAGCGTACTTTACACTATACCGGATTCGCTTCTCACGATATCTTCGCTTGCCTTTAAAGGGCAATGGTTAGTAACAAATGCTTATAAGTTTGATAGATTTGGTATATGTAAAATATTATTTACTTTGATCTCTGACAGTAATTTTTTACTAGCTTTTAAAGCTTCAAAATTTCACCCACTCCGGAGGCAACCGGTATAATGTAAATGGGGCCTTATTAATTTTTAAGTGGGTACTCGGCGTATATATTCGCTATGGCAATGCAGTCCAATCTAAAACTATATAATTATATTCAAATTCAATGTATACTTCACAGCATATCACAGTCTGCCTGGCCCGTATATCTAGTTACTACGGCCTATTAAAAGCGTTTTAAAATTCAGTTTACTCCATTCTAGACTAAATATAGGATTGCGAAGCCGTATTTTTGTAATTAATCGCTACTGCCTACGCAGTTGCATTCAAATGACCCATTCATTAGATAGCGCTGTCACGAACAGATGAACGATCGCATGTGTACGCTTATCTGACAATCTCAGTAACAATTCTTTTTATTCATTTTGAATAACTACACAAAAAAACACTTAAATGAATATACGGTAACAATTAATGTATGTAAGGAAAATTTACTTTAGTATCTAAACAAGATGAAATGTGCATGGGCCTAAATTTCCAAATTGTTCAATAATAAATATACATATATGCTAATATGCATTTTAGCATCAAATGTTGCATAACAACTGTCTATAAAATAGACAAAACACTTTTCGACGTTTCGACCTGAGGGCCTACAAAGGCTCTTAGGTCGAAATGTCGAGAAGTGTTTTGTCTATTTTAGGTAGTTGTTATACCACATTTCATGCTAAGTTGTTTTAAGACGCTGCCACGCTGCTACCTGGTTATATTGAAACACATCTATACAGGGTGAGTCAAAAAAAGTCCCCCTATTGAAATGAAGCCTTTGTTGATTTGAATGCATGATCAACGCAGTAGTGTGTAAATAGCATAGTTATTAGGTTGAGGCATTCAAATAAAGCGTCTTGCTTTCAATTGGGTTTATCATAATATTAAGGCAATCAGATTCTAACAAAGGCTTGATTTCAATAGAGGGGACTTTTTTCTGACTCACCCTGTACATCTCTTCGCAGCGACCATGGTCTCCCTAAAGGTACTCATACATAATTATATGCATTGTTATGCAAAATTAACATTAACATACATTCTAAAAGTCACCGTATATTTTCTTGACATCATTAAGAAAGATAGAAAACAAGTCTTTAACCTTATACTTTCATATCTCGAAAGAAATTTTGCTAGGTATAAGATGAGAATGCCAGCTTTCTCACACCAAAACATGGTAGTTTTCTTTTTTCCTGTTTCCAATGACCATCTGTTTTGTTTGCATAAAAAACCATCTTCGTTCACCAATTTTTTTTTGAATGATTCACTATAACGGCCATAGCCGTTTTAGTTGAAGTTTCGAAAACGCTTTCTAGCAGTCATAGCAACTGACTGATTTCTTTAGCAATATGTTTCTTAATTAAAGGTCAAAGCGCTGCTTTGTCTCTTTTGTCAACTGTTACCACAAAGCTTCTTAGAGATTCTTCTTCAATGGCAGTAAACACCCATTGTCCTTCAACGCGATGACCATGCACGATGATATTTCCTCTTACCAAACTAGCTTTCGTCAATGTGAACAGTTTCCCAGGCCCGCCAATCTGCTCCTCTCGCTCAAGAAGAGTTTCTTTTCGCGACATACAGAACGAGTCCCAGTCGATTGCTGCATGTGTTAAAAGCGATCTTATAAGTTCATGACGTATTTCATCTTGTTTCATATCACGGCACTACCAGTAGCTACGTTTAATCGATCAAATTTCAATGCCCTTACCCTTCTTTCCTCACAATGGTAACTTCCCTGCTCAACAAAATCTTGTTTCCCACACTGGATTCCGATAATTGTTAAATTAAACAATAAAATTTCCGATTGCGTATCTTTAGCTTTTTTTTTCAAGTTTAACGTACACCTGAACGCTTTTTCCCATGTTTGCCGTGCATGCGATCTTGGGTTAGTGTTTATAAATAAGGTATACTGTGAAAGCAATGCTACAGTCTATTACTGAAAGCAACCGATGCCTGAGTTATCGTTCCAGTTTGTTTACAGATCAGTGGTTTTTATTTTCATAGCCAACTTTGAACTTAATTTTTTACTTCTAGTCCGAATTTGTCGACAATGTTGGTATCTTTTTGATCGGGGGTGAACAAATTTTCAGAAAATATAAAAACCCAAACGCGAAGGTTTCATTGCAAAAAAAATCATGTACTTTAAGGTCCCTATTACCCCCTATAGCTAGGGCGGGAATCTACCGCCAGATATAATATTATTGTCTGTATTTTTAGTGAAACAGCGGATGAAAAGAAACTAGTACCTGTTGGACAATTGGTGAGTTATTCAAACATAACATTGAATATTACTAATTTGGAGAACCGTGCTAGAGTTCTTCCGCGCCCTCCTCATGTGAACACCGTCATTCACTTTTACATTGAAAACACCTGCACAGGACGAATTTTGAGCACTGTTTTAAATTCGTACGCGTAAACGTAGTCCTAGCCTTCACTTTCCATAACTATTACAACTATTACATTTCAGAAAATAACAATCCAACGCATTCTGAAAGTTGCCAGAAAATTTGCGACGTTGCGTGTTACTATAAAACCTGGGTTGAGCTTATATGATAATAGTGCCTAAGAGATTGCTTCCGGTCAGGAAAATTATCCTCCGGACCTGATCGGACCGTATGGTTTCTTTTGTGTTTAAGACAATTAGTTTTGGTTGCGAAGCCACTGACATAAGAGAGACGTTTTTGTTTGACCGGTCCAGAGGCAAATTTTCCTGATTGAAAATTAGCGTTGAAACGAACTTTTATTTGATGATGCGAAATTTTGTCTTCATCTGAAAATTCTTGAATTGGTGGCAATAGAGTGGGTTAAGCTCGCTGCTACGTACGGCTCGCTGTCTGCTTTACTTCTGCAAAGTATCCCAGGTGCTAACCCCTGTTAAACATTAACTGTAATCTGATTTCCCCATGTTTTCACGTCGTGTCAAGTTAATTCATTTGACGCCTTTCGAATGAATCCGTACTGTAGTTCCGATTTGCTGATGGCAGAGACAAGTTTCTCATGTTCCTTGGCGTGATTGGCAGTATAATATTTGGCGCTATTGCACCAGTGCAATGTGTATTGATGGGGGAACTTGTTGATGATTTCGTGGATTTTACGATTTGCCAAAAGAATGCGAACTGCACTGATCCACCTGACTTAGAAGACTCGATGACAACAATAGGTCAGTTCTATTATACATCTTGATATTCAATTGACATTGTCTTTTATCTCAGCGCTAGTTGTGTTTACCAAAGGAAAAAAAATAGAGATGAATAGCGAGGTTGCTTTACAAAAAAAATCATCTTTCCACCTACGAATACCGGTACTGTATAACCCCAAATTCAATTTATTAATCAATGAACGAACTTGCGTTTTAGACTAATTTTCGACCGAAGTGACTAGACGAAAATAAATTACCACTGCTAGAAAGATTACTTAAAATAGTGCAAAATTTGGCTGCGAAATTTTGTAAATTACGGAAAACATAGCCATGCGAAGTTGGCAAATTTCGTATACTTTTGTATTACGTGCACGTGCGGTAGTGTAACTAAATTAGTTACAAACTTCCGCCGTAATTCAAAAATTTACAAAATTCGTCATTTTCGCATTGCTATATTTTCCGTAGTTTACATCAATGCGCAGCCAAACTTGACAGTTTTACTAATTTTAGTAAGCTCTTTCAGAAAATGTTGTTTTATCGCCGAGGTAGGAAATCAGTCTTAAGCGCAAGTCGTCCATTACCATATTGGACACTGCTGGAAATAGTTGATCCTCGGTTTGCCTGCCCGGTTTTATCTTTTGATGGGTTCTTATTTCATATCATCAATAACGTGTAAAATCAAACATTTTAAGCAAAGAGTTTGAGGGGCATGTATACGTTAATTAGCACGATCACGGACCGTAAATGTAAAATCGATTTCGAAAAAAAAATAATACGATTATGTCCAACCCACTTATTAGCTGTTGAGTTGGCTGCAAAAATATTTTTGTGAGTGGAAACACATACAAACCAAATGTTCAAGTGAAGAATTTTTTTCTTGATGCTATGATGTTGATGTAATTTTAATTTTTATATAGGGTTGTGGTATGTCGGTTTCTCGATTGCTAACTTCCTTTTTGCTTGGATGGGATTGGGTCTCTTTGGGTTAGCCGCTGAGAGGCAAGCACATAAAATGAGGTTGGCGTTATTCCGAAGTGCCGTTCATCAAGAAATTGGTTGGTTTGATGCTCACACGAGTGGTGAGTTGATCAATCGCTTGACGGAGTAAGTGACAAAATATTTTCCGTAAATCATGTATACGTGTGTAATTGTAATTTGTTTCTTTGGCAGTACATATTCATAATTTGTATATAATTTATAACAGTGCATGATGGGAATATTGCTTAATCAAAGATTGGCTCGGACCCGATTTGCTATATATGATTGTATTTCACCATGGCTGTCCGTTATTTCCTGAACAATGCTATTATAGTACAACTCTTTCTCTCAATAGTCAACCATCCACAGCCCTATACACTGACTAGAGATTTACTTGTCGACAACAATAATATTTGTGGTCGACAAGTCGACAAGTTAACCTTATAACGTTATCTTCAACTGAATAAGTCCTAAAAAGGGACGATACACATACAAGGCGCTTAAATTTGATTTGGCAACTGATACGTAGAGCTTGACAAATAGCTGACAGAATAGCGTGGAGACAAACAAAACAAAATTTCAAACAGCGACAAAATAGGATCATGTGCGAGGACGGTGAGAGGACGTGTATCTCACAAACCCAAATTTTCGTACTGAAATACAAATTGAATTTTATCAGTTTCGTTGTGTTTCTTCTACCATTGATATATAACAGAAAACATAAGAATTATGAATTTTATATGTGTACTTGTTCCGGAAATCGCTCTCTTTTTGGCGACCTCTTTTAACGACACAACATATCATTCACCATCATTGTATATGCCCGCCTCTTTTTTAACAAGTGTTGGCCATCTTTGTGTGAAAAACCCTTTCACAACAATGCAGTATTCCTCCAAGCGCTAGACCCATCTTTTAAATAAGAGAATGACACCTGTAATTACTGATTGATTGTTTTTGATACAGGGATATAAACAAGATAGCTGATGGTATTGGAGCGAAGTATGGGCGCATATTGTCAAGTATCGTTTCCTTTATCGTGAGTTATGCAATCGGTTTTGCTTACGTTTGGCAGTTGACACTTGTTATGTTTAGTCTATTTCCGCTAATGGTGATTGTCGGTGCTATGATGTCGAAGGTAAATATCATGTATTGATACGTGTGAAACTAGCCAGTAAGTTGCGGCTGCGTGAGCTGATATTGTACATCATTGTGACAAACATACAACGAAAAAATGTAAGCCAACGTTCATCTCTTGAGGTGTAAGAACTACATGAAGCGAGTTATCCCGGCTAGGCGAGGTAAAAAGTGCATCACATCAAAGGCTTAAACTGATCGTCTTATTCACTATTTAGCTGACAGGAACTTACGCCGCAAAAGAGTTGGAAGCGTATTCTAAGGCCGGACACGTGGCGGAAGAAAGTATTTCATCGATAAGGACAGTAGCAGCATTTGGAGGCGAATTAAAACAAGCAGATTTGTGAGTTTAATTCACAAGTGCAAAAAAAGAATAATATACTTGAGCTAAATTTTGGGTCTTGCATGAAAATACAAATTAAATTGCACACTCCCCTGACTAGCATATTATAAAATAATTTTAGTAAATATTCCTGCCTACGTCAGTACGTCAGCTTCCTTTGCGAAGGTGCAGTAAGCTGTGTAAATTTCTATCAGCTTGACATTCGCCTCAAATTTAGGCATGATTTACGTGCGATCCTCCATGTGCAGTGGCTAATTTATAAAACAGGCAGCTACCACATAACTCATTAATTTCGAAACAGCTATTGAAATTGAATTCACCCTCAATTCATTTCTATTGACTTTTTTCCTGTGTTTTATTAGCCAAAACCGATCAAATTTAGATTTGAAAGATTCAAGGATAAATGGATGTTTAGCCGTCTTTCAGTCTGACCACATGCAAGATTTAGTTTTGTCGGAACTATATTATTCACAGTCATAACTGATTATGCAGTACTGCTTCTTTGGCTTTAGTTGAGTGCTGCCAACATACATTGCATGAGCATACCATAAGACATCCGTCAGAAATTATTTGGATCGAACTTATCTTTACTTTTACGATCACTTTACTTTTATCACTAAATTTCAACCGTGTTTAGATATGAATCAAAGCTGGATGATGCTGCTAAGTACGGAATCAAGAAAGGTTTTGGAACCGGTGTTGGCATGGGATGTTTTCAAATGGTGAACTACATCAATTACGCGCTTTCGTTTTGGTAAAAACTTATGAATTTGTGCCGTATTACACTAGAATCGTTCAATTAATTACCCACTTTTGCTACCGGTAAAAGAGGATAAAAGCAAAAAAAAATCGAACATTTCCTTGATAGAATTAAACGTGATCATGCAGTTAAACGTGATTAATCCACAGTGTGTTTATTCAATTTGTACCCTTGAGATAGGAAATTTTATTGTTTTCAATACTTTTTAGACCTTCTCTTAATTCCAATTATGAGTGTTTTAAAAAAATCTCTAAAACCCTTTCAATATCAATTTTAAAAGGTACGTCATCAAGTTAACCCGAGACGGTGATGCCACTGCTGGAGATGGGATGCTGGTAAGCAATCAATTTCAGTGTTGGTCATTTAGGAATACATACCTCAGCATAATTCTAACAATAACAGTACACTTACCTTGAACAACGATGCTATTAATTTTGCTAATATGAATTTCCAAAAATTCCGACATTCAAATTGTTGAATTGGATAGGTTAAGATACTCAGTTCCGTATACGGGGACATTTAGTCTTATTCAATAGAATTCAATTTCTTCATCTTTTATGAGGCAAACCTTGCTTGCCAGAAGAGGCTCAAGTCCTCCCTGCGCAAGTTAAAGGTCTGTTCACATGATCCAACTTTCTCGGATCCAAATCACTTCTCATGGGTGTTTTAAAGTTTGTTGACTTGCAATATAATTATATTGGACAACAAGTCCCCTGAAACCAATGCAATACCACTTCATGCTTTCGTTTATCAATAACAAACTACATTCCATCCTTCAGAAGTGAATTCGATCCGACAACGTTGAATCGTGCGGACGGGCCTTAAACTCATTTCTAATCAGCTATCCAGCAAAAAAGATATCGAGCTATGTAAAATTGTAAAAAGGACTAGCTAAAGTGATACGGACAGAATCCTAGATTTTATAATTGCAAGTTAATCATAATCATTATAAGTAATCCATGTATTCATTTTTTTCCAGGTATTCTTTGCCGTAAGCTTAGGATCATTGATGTTGGGGCAAGCGGCTCCCAGTGGCGAAGCACTGGCTGCTGCCCAGGGAGCTGCTTTTGCCGTATTTCATATCATCGATAGGGTAATGTTTGTTCAGTATATGTAGCAGAAATAAATGGAATTATCACAAATCATAAGCTAAATGTTGAAGATTTGAATTGAGTGGAAGTTGAATGAATGAAAGTTGTGAGAAGTCATTTTAAGATGACATAATTATAACCTAATTGCGATAACAAAATAATTCTTACAGAAATCCGAAATAGATGCCTCAGCTGATGGCGGCCTAAAGCCGACGACTATTAGGGGTGACGTCACTTTTTCAAATGTAGATTTTTCTTACCCAACTAGAAAAACGGTCAAGGTTAGTTGATTTATGCCAACTAGACTTTAGGTTTATCTATTTGTTTCTGGGACCGGTTGTATGATAGCCGGATAGCGCTATTCACCAGATAGTGATTTTTCAAACGCTTTGAAATAGCCTGCATGTAATTTGCTAGAACTTTGATCAAATATTGGTATTCCTAAATTAAGGATGCTCTATAATAATTGCTCGTTCCAAAGAAGAAATTTCATCGCTTTTTGAGCATTTTTTGAACGGTTGAAAAAACCACTATCCGCGGTGGATAACGCTGTTCGGCTTTCATACAACCGGCCCCTGGAGGCTACTAATTTTGTCATTCACAGATAACCCCAACGTTTTCTCCGGTTACCAAAATTCCATGCATGCACCCTAAACATTATTAAGATTATTGTGCTTGTGCTCTAAAAAGGGATGAATATGCAAATATATGTTTTGAAATTTGTGGGTAGATAGAAATTATGCATGTTATAAAGAAGGGTTTTGTGCAACTCCGTTATTGTACGCACTGAGTTTGAACTCTTTACTTTTACACACTGAATAGATCCTTGGCGATTTTAATTTGGAAGTGAAAAGTGGAAAAAGGGTTGCATTAGTGGGAGAGAGCGGTTGTGGAAAAAGTACGATCGTCAAACTTGTGCAGAGATTTTATAAACCTCTCCGCGGAACTGTGAGTAAATATTCACTCGTTTATATGTCTTTTTTACCCACATTTTTAGTTTTCAGTGATTGTCAATATTTTTGTACATTTTGTACAGTTAATCTTTTATCAAATATGGTGAAACAGCTGCCCAAAATTGATAACAAATTCGATGTTCCGATATTATGACCTTTATTCGCAGTGTACTGACGTTATAGCAACCTTATAAGAGGTCCTGGCAGTACGTCTAAACGATCAGAAGTATTTTTGTACATTTTAGGCAGTTGTTTATTCACATTTGATGAAAAATCATTGCAATGATTTCGTTTATCGTTACTATTACTAAGTCTTATTGGATGGATGTTGTTGTTAAAATGTGTTATCGGTCTTTCCGAGTGCCGTAAACGATGTGAAAAAAAACGAAAAAAGTTTGCAAACCACGTAAAAATGCAATGCTGACATCACACTTCATGTAAACGACTGTGGCGCAGCCACCCTGACAATTTGGGCCTGCTATGATAATATCTTGTTATTGATTTACTGTCAAACAATGAATTTTTAAAGAAATGAGTAATAATAAAATATAATTTGCGTATTAGGACTAAATCGCCAGGCTGGCTACGGCCTATATGGCACTGGTAAACGATCATTGCATGGACATCTTTCTTCTGCTGGTTCAGGTTTTGATTGATGGTAATGATATATCAACATTTAACGTGAGGCATCTTCGTCGATTCATCGGCGTGGTTAACCAAGAACCGGTCCTTTTTGCAACAACCATCGCAGAAAATATTGCATTTGGCAAGGAAGGAGCAACAAAAAAAGAAATTGAAGAAGCTGCACGGCTGGCAAATGCACACGACTTCATCACGAATTTTCCTGACGTATGTGTAATTTGAAAATGCGAATTTGTTTGTAAACTCTGCTCACCTAAGCCATGAAGATTCTTAAAATCGTGTTAAACGAATCAAATTCAAAGAAAGTTATTTTTACATTCCATTCACAATTGGGTCTATTTGAGAAATTTGGGGCTTAATGCTTAATGCCATGTTACATGATGCAATTTTTCTTGCAACTTGCAACGCAATTCTACTTTTAAGTGATGTAAATTAGTGAAGAGTCTTCAAAATGTTAGTGTAAGAAACACCATAGAATGTAATAAAGACAAAAGTTTGGTAGTTGCCAAATTTACATCTCTCAAAAGAGGAGTTGCATTGCAAGTTGCAGGAAAAATTGCACCGTGTAACAGGGGCCTTTTGGGCAAAATAGAATTTAAAGGGGCCTTATATAATTTCCTAATGGAAAGAAGGGCGTTATTGTTTCGCATCTAAATTTTCTAACCCTTACCCTTACAGCCTAAAGAACCGGTGCCAATACCCTTGTCTTCCTGCTTGTTTTCTCCTCAGAGAGCCCTTTGACATGGATTATTATTTTCCGTAAATGTATGTGTTTTTATTTTTAGGGCTACGAGACTCTTTGTGGCGAACGTGGAGTTCAAATGAGTGGTGGACAAAAGCAAAGGATCGCTATCGCGAGAGCACTCATACGTAATCCAAAAATCTTGTTATTAGATGAGGCAACGTCGGCGCTCGATTCAGAAAGTGAAGCAGTTGTTCAAGAAGCTCTTGATAGGGTGAGACAGCAACAAATACTTGTTAAGTTCCCATTGAGTGCATTAAAAATTTGTTGAAACATTGTTTTACCAAAAGGCGATGAAATTAAACGAATCAGAGATGATATGTTCCCAAAACATCGAAGCAGCGTAGTAGGCGACAACTGATAGTTATCGACGACCTCATTTTTTGGCGTTTTTTTAGTGTGTGAAAACTATTGTTTTAGTTCTCAAGTACTGTTAATCTCCGCGCTATTTCGGTTAATTGCTAAATCAGTATTTGAGCGCCAGTGTGTCGAATCCTTTATCGGACTTATTTAGTTGTCGATAACTTTTAGTTGTCGAATAACAAATAGTTGTTGACAACTAAATCCCTAGTCTGTCGAGGCCCTTAGATTCTTAACGTTTTAACCCAACAAGCTCCTAGCAAACTATCTTCATTTAAGCTACAAGACATTGTACATTCCAATTGATTTAGGCAGGAGAAGGTCGCACAACTATTATCATAGCTCACCGACTATCGACAGTGAGAGATGCCGATAGTATCGCGGCTGTAAGCGAAGGTCATATTAAAGAAATTGGTTCGCATGATGAGTTAGTCGCAAAGAAGGGTCTCTACCATACATTGTTGAAAATGCAGGTAACCCTTTGACTACACAACTTTTGATGTGGCAATCAGTTATTTCTGGATGTTGACTATCTGTATCGACGATTTCATCTACTTGTATTTAAAAAATCCTTTCAAGTCACATGCTTATAAAATGCCTATTAATTTTTATAATTAAATGTGGCGATAGTTTTGTATTGTACATTTTGTATTTTAGCATCTGCATTTTATGAAAGCTACATAGTCTATTAAACCTCTAAGCCGCTTTCTCACTTTAATTGCATGTGAGAGTTCGAAAGGCAAAAAATGCCCGATTGAGGAATTAGCTACGCTTAGTGGCAAACTGCTCTTTAGTTTCAATTTTCCTATCACGTAGGAAAAAGGAAAGGACGATGTCAGCGATGATGAGGATGATATGAGAGCAGAAAACGATTTTGAGAGGGGTGAAGGTTGGTGCCTCTACTTTTAAACAAATGCATATAGTCATTGCAATCGTTCGGATAACTTGAAGCGCTTGTGTGTGTGAGTGTTCACGGAAAATCTTTAAGTATTTCTAGTTCTTAGAAACTGATTGACGAATGACGTATAACTTCAATAACTCTATAATTCCTGAGCCGGTGCGGAGCACCGTGCGAGGGTATACTAATTCCGTCCGAAGATTAGGAATTACACCCGGAACCCGGGAGAACAAAGCGGAATCAAATGTTGTCCAAAATTTTTTCAGTAGTCATTGTACATGAACAAAATTTAGACGAGTACAGACTGGTACTCAGCGACTTGCTGATTGGCTAAGATAAAAAGGTTGTATTTCAATAAAAAATCTTTAAACTGCATGCAGCATAGCTAATTGAGCAGGAAAATTGGTGAATTTACTTGAATTTTTAAATGACTGTGTTTGTTTCAAATGTGGAAAATCAGTTATCGGCTTTATATTCAGTTAAGTCATTTCATAATATAAGTTTAGAGGGTTAGGTCTGGCTAATTCAGGAAACATTTTACTTCGTTTGAAATGGCGTAGGGTTGCTGCATGCATTTTTTTCTAGCTCTTTGATCTTGAATTTCAGCAATTGATGGAGCGTTCAAACTGGGTTCTGTTGGTGGAAGTACATTAAGCGGTTCATTCGTTACGAAAACGCAGGTGAGTTTGAATGGCGTGTCCGGCTTTAGCCATAACTTTTAGCCAATTTTTCGTGTAATCATGTGAAGACACCTCTTGATAGGTTTTTACGTAATGTATTTCTGCATACGGGAATTTGTAGATTGATGATGATGGAAGAAAACCAGTATCATTTAGGAGTTTGATCAAACTGAGCGCTCCAGAATGGAAATACTTGGTTGTTGGTTGTTTTGGTTCAATCTTGTACGGGACCTTTCCCTTTCTCTACGGAAAAGCTTATGGCGGACTTTTTGATGTGTGTATATGTTCGTTATTATAATTTGAATTAATTGCAGAAATTTTTATCCTTCAAATAAAGGTCTCGCTTAAATAAATCGTTCTGTCTCGCTAATCAAATCATAAACTGTCTCTCACACCTTTTCCTCTTAGACATTTAGTTATGATCCGAAAATTCCGGATGAAAACGAAGAAATGGATGATGAGAGCAAAAAGTGGGCAGTCGTGTTTCTTCTTATCGGGCTAGAAAGTGGTATTGGAATATTCTTACAGGTATGCATGCTTATTTAACCCTATTTTAAGGCGTTTAATTTTCACACTATGCCACTTGCTTGACTTGCTGTAACCTTCGCTTTCAATCTTTTATTTCATCAATAACACCGGAGTATAAAAAAGAAAAACAAGAAGCTGAACAGTTATTTTATACTCTCAAGCATAAATTATTTTGTTTAGAATTGGTATTTGGCGAAGGCTGGCGAAGCGTTGACGAAAAGATTACGAAAGAAAGCATTTCTGGCATTCCTTCGTCAGGTAAGTGATATTCATACAGAACGTTAAGAAAAATAACCTATTAATGTTTACATGTATGTAATGTAGGCGTAACATTTTTCCAATTATTTGTTTATTGAGATATCGAAAGAGAGCATGTAAATTTTTCCAATTATTTGATTATTGAGCGAGATTTTGTAGCTGCATATTGGACAGAAGCTACCGTGCAGAAGCATGTGTTTTGGAATAAAGAATTGATTGTACAGTAGTGGCACCTTTCCTTTGCATATTCGCGCGTCTTTATTGTGAAATAGCGAGTTTAAGATGCAACAGATAAACGACACTAACATCCTGACCAGAACTTATTTTCCATGGAAATAATTTACTCTGCAGTTAAATATATTGCTATGTTGTGAACATATCCTGGCAATAGGAACAGGGCCTCTCAGAGAAATTTGAGGGGCCCGGGGCAAAATCCAGCTTGGGGCCCTTTCACTATAGAAGCAGTTTACTCCTATTTTATCTTATTGTCATCGTATCTAACATTTTTTATTTTCGTATTCATCCTGGGCACCTTTAACCCAGGGGGGCCGGGGAAAATTGCTCCTCCCCCCTAATGAGAGCTAATCAGAATGTTATAGAGTGTTATCACGAGTAGACGTTTCATTTACAGGAAATTTCGTACTATGATCTTCCTAATCATGGAACCGGAGCAATTTGTTCCAGGCTGGCGACAGAGGTCTCGTCTATTCAAGGGGTATGTATCTTACTGATACGAGTGCTCAGAACTCGTCATTTCTTAGCTAGCGCTGGATTTTTTATGGCAATGGGAAATGAATGGTTGCCATTCATGATAAGAGAATACATGTGAGTAGGGTTGTTTCGATCATAAATTTCAGGTCGATAAAAATTTTTACTTACCTATTCTTCACTTGTGCGAATTGCGAAATCAAGTACTTAATATTTTATCGAAACCATGCATGAATTAGTTAAAGCGGAAGTCAAGTCCGTATGTAAAGAAATTATTTGTTTACATTTTGAACTTCTATACTTTTTTAAATCCGTTTTGAATATCTAACAACAGTTACGTTCGTTATAAACTAGCGTTGTTGATGAGAAAAATTCGACTAAAATGCGAAATTTGGGCAAAATTTTTATCTCAGGACCTCACATTATTATGAAAAACACCCATGCACAGACTTGACTTTCACTTTAACAAATTGGAAAAAATAAAACTTTTATACTTTAATAAACTTTTTTATGATTTTTATGCATGTATTTATTAGGCAACTGGGCCACAACTTGGATTACTTCTTGCTGGTATTGTGACCGTAATTGGTGGCCTAATTGTTTCCTTAACTGCATCTTGGCAACTGGCATTACTCATGATGGCTTTCATCCCCCTTCTCGTGGGAAGTGGGATGTTCATGAACGCCTTTTTCGGCTCCTCAAAAGAATCCCTAAGTAGAGGTGGCAACGTACGTACTGACTTTGTGTCATTTTATTGATAATCTCCTGGCCTTGCATGTTGCTTTTTAAATTATATTCGCTGTCCATAGGTAGAAATTTCTTTTTCGAGTGGAAGCACTGTTTTGTCAGTTCTTTTCTCTTGTTTCTCATTAGTTTAATGTTGTAAAAATTAGGAAATACTTGTTCTAGTAAGAGGCTTTTTTTTCAGACCGCTGAAGAAACGTTTTCTAATATCCAAACAGTCGTATCATTAGGAAGAGAGGAGGAGTTCTACCAAAGATATCAAGAAGAGATGATTATTCCATACAGGTTAGAGCACAGATTCACTGTTCACAAAATAGATTATAAACAAGAGATGGCGCTAAAACACGTGATGCAGAAGTATTAGAAAAATTTGGAGACACGACGAAAGTTTCTGGATCACATGAAGACCAACCATGAAAATTGATAATAATAAACTTAATTTGTATTTCTTTAAACTTTTTAATAGTTTCGTCGTTATAAATCTAGTGTTATTTTGTTTCATTCAGACGTGCAAAGAAAACTAGCCATTTTTCTGGGCTTTCCAACGGTTTTTTCTTTGGAATCATGAATTTGAGCTATGGAGCAGGATTTCGTTATGGCGGATATTTGGTTGAAGAAGGTGACGTCAATATAGAGGAAATGATGACGTAAGGAAACCCATTTCGATCTTGAATAAAGTTGTATTTACTTAATAGAAAGAACTGATGAGGTTGAAAATGTGGAACATAAGTGTTTTTAAAAGCCCTAAAATCTCATCACAGATTTTTTAATTTCGACGTTTTTTTTCCTCATATTCTTGTCTTTTCCACAAAAAACCTCAGATATACTTAAACCAGATAAATAATTCATTTACGTTGGGGGTATGCATAACAGAGGCTTTAAACCGCTTGAATTTTCGCTCAATTTTTGCTAAACATAACTTGACAACATAAAACATAAACTCAAAATTCAATAAAAAAATTAAACTGTGTGCTCATTCCCTTGGTCAGCTGGCCTTGATACACATATTCTGATGTTAAAATAACGCGTGCAAGCATTTAATTTAATATTTTTCAAACGCATTTTTTCTCTTCCGTGTAGCTCAATAATCACCGTATTAATATGCTGTGTTGTGCTTGGACAACTGGCGTCGATAACACCGGATTACAAAAAAGCAAAAGAAGCAGCTGAACGAGTATTTTATCTCCTGGGTTCAGTCCCCGACATCGACGTTTACTCAGAGGATGGATCGAAGCCGGTGAGTAAAATTGAAACTCACCATTAAACTTTACAATTTGTACAATATGTAGGTATTCTTGGATGTAATTTTTAACAATATCAAAATTAATATGACCTTGGCTAATTTTGTTAATCGCAGTTATATGGGAACAAATGTTACCTTGTACTAAACAACAACTATCTTTGTTGCAACATTTCTTAGCTCGCCTATAGGAATCACTGACGACGCAATTGTGTCCATTTTGCGCGTTTATATATTATTGTTTTTAACCGAAGAAATTCTTGGGCTCTTCAGTTGTACGTAGCCGCGACCCTTAAAAAATACAGCTATATTTATAATTTATTGACTCAAAAACTGACAAGAGAAACTCCAGCCACTCAAATCAAACTACATAAGCATTTTTGCCATCGAAAATTCAATCAATCATGTGTTTAAGCCCCCCCCCCCCTCCCCTCACACCCGCCTTCGTATGAAAAGTTCTTCCTTTTTGTGTTGCATGATTTAAACACTCTCGATGTTAAAATACCATCGCTTCTTAATTAGACAGTATGTATATCATTCCTGCAAATATCAACTCGTGAATCCAGTCAGTTCTATCTTATTACTATATTTTTGTGATTACTTTTATATGCTCGTTCTCATCATTCAGGAAACGTGCAACGGTGAGATTACATTCGCCGGTGTTAGATTCCGTTACCCTACCCGACGAAACTTGAAAGTTCTTCGTGGTCTTGATCTAACTGTTAAACCAGGTCAGACCGTCGCATTGGTAGGAACAAGTGGGTGTGGAAAGAGTACAACAGTCTCATTGGTCGAAAGATTTTATGATACGAGCGCGGGTCATGTGGTAAGACGTCTACCTTATGATTACTTACATGTAGAGACGTCGGTAAACGGTTATGAATTCAGTTCAAGCATTTGACTTCTGTTCTTTTATTTCCTCTTTCGATAATTACGTAACAACTTCATTGTTTCAAAAACTTTACAACAACATTACATTAAAAAAAATGGAGGTTTTACTAAGATAAAAATCAATAAACAGTTCTTCGCCGAGATTCACGGAAACTTCTTCTCGTTATAGATGGTGGATGGGGTTGGTGTGGGGCAACTCAATTTGAAGTGGCTTCGACGTCAAATAGGTGTAGTTTCACAAGAGCCGGTTTTATTTGATTTATCGATAAGAGACAACATTGCTTTTGGTGACACGTCAAGAAAAGTTTCTGACATGGAAGTAGAAAAGGCAGCGCAAGAGGCAAATATTCACCAGTTTATCGTATCCTTGCCTAAGGTAATCTTAAAAAAAAATTTGTTAACGTCATATTAGCTGTAAATGTGTATATCCAGTTAGATTTTCCCGGTATAGTGGTGACGTGCTAATCGTGAGACACACAAAACATTAGGCATTCCAACAACAAAGCTATACATATACATGTGTTAGCTATATACTTATATTATTGTTCACCGAATAATAATTTACTAATATCAACAGTAAAAGAAATCAAAATCGGAAAAAAATAAAGCATGAATTTTATCTTTTTTATCCCTCCCTTCCAACCCTAGTCACCAAAGTGTGCATGCAGGGGCAGCCCCTTTGAATTCCCCTTATAAATCTTTGACTTGCGGTAGTAGGAACTATTGTTGAGATTATGATATCGCTTTCAAAGTATGATGTTAATTGGTGTTTTTGTTTAACGGCTTGTAATACTACTCTTGTGCATAGGGCTATGACACAATTGTCGGAGACAAAGGGACCTTGATATCTGGAGGACAAAAACAGAGAATTGCAATAGCACGGGCTTTGATTAGAGATCCAAAAATTTTATTATTAGATGAAGCAACATCGGCTTTAGATACAGAAAGTGAAAAGGTAATTCAAATCATTATACTGCAAAAGATCGGACAAAGTTTGGATCCATGGATCCTCATAGCTTGTGGCTTTTAATATAATACGTTTAAATACCAATAATTCAATAGAAATTTTTAAGCAAAGAACTTACAATGTGGAATTGAGTATCATGCACAGAACACAAAGTAGCGGCATAAATCAGTTGTGCAGGTTCCTGCATCAGCTTCCTGCATCAGCTTCAACTAAATTTTATTATAACCAAAGATTTCTTACTTTAGGTAGTTCAAGAAGCTCTTGATAAAGCCAGTATTGGGCGAACAACACTTGTTATTGCTCACAGATTGTCTACAATACAACATGCTGATGCTATTTGTGTAATTCGCCAAGGCCGAGTGGTTGAGCGTGGAACTCATCATCAATTGCTCGCAATGAAAGGAATCTACTACGCTCACAATAAAGCACTATCTTTGAAAAAGGAATAAATTCATTACCTTAACTCTCTCTTTTCATCCATAATGGGACTTGTTACCTTTTTTGATATTTTCAGTTAGTGTATTATAATTTCGCATCATTTTCAAAATAAACTTAGTCATGTTTAATAAACTAAGTCCGAGTCTCATCCTTTGCTTTTTCATATAATTATTCTTTCTGACAGGAAAATTTACATCTTGTTAAACTTCGCGGTATTATTGCATATCAAGCTTTCAAAATATTTTTTTCGAAGTCGCGAAAAGGATTTTACGGGTTTTTTGGGTGGGAGGGGTAGAGGGCAAGCGCCTCTTGCCATCTTGGTCAATTGCAAGCTCCTACCTATAGTACTCTTTTCTTACCTAGGTTGAACGGTCCACACTTTCCTTCTGCATTTATTTTTTATTGAAAGTATTACGACTGTGTTCTAAAAGTTTACTCGCACTCAAATTTATTGAGTGAGCCCTACAGTGTTTCCAATCCCGTCTGCCAGAATTTAAAGGTGATGTCCAGCCGTTATGTAAACAAACGACATGTTTACATTTTGAACTGCTATATCTTTTAAACATGAGGAACTGTATGTTTACCTCACACATTATTGGTTCTCTATGATTTAAAATGAATATGTGCATGGTAGAGTCTAAATAAGCAGAGCGCATTGATCCGTAATAACAATATTACAAATTCTCATGGTAGTCATGGGAAATACCAAACGGAATTTTTCGCAAATATCGAGCTTAAATATGAGGCCGTTCCAAACGTTTCCTCGATTCTAAGTAAAACCTGATACATTCAGCGATATTGTTATATAATATTTTATTTCTAATAACACTTCTAATAATAACATTCTTATATCTGTTCATTATGAAGGCAATTTCCTCTAAATTTCACTTTATTATTCTAACGAACACAAAGTTTTCATGTTAGTTTAAGTTTTTACTGTATTTATGGCTTTCGTGCGTTTTATAGCTTTCACTTCATAAGGCTTTGGAAATCTCACAGAACTCGTCATCGCCTCTAAGGTAGGTTTAGGCGAGCCTGGTGGTATTTTAAATCGAAATTGATGGAACAGCCTTGATAGAGTGATAAAAACGTTCATTTTACCCAGTGCTATTCCCGGACAAGCCCTTCGACCAATAGAAAATGGGAAGAAATCTAACTCAGATTTCCAGCCGATAAACTGTTCGTTTTCATTTAGAAAACGGGAAGGAAGGAATCTGGATGGGCTTTTCCATTTCGTTTCATCATGATGTATCCTCCAAAGATTCAAGATTATCGTTGTTCCTTTCGGAATGATGTGATCCTGAATTTTGGTATCCCGTACAGCTCTACGCATGATCAACGCAATTGAAACAGCATGTCTGATAACTTCACATATTGTAGCTTGAAAATACGGGAGATTATCAGCATCTTCTAGACAAGGGAGACGGGAATCTCCAATAACCCGGTCAAACTCTTCGTGAACTTTCTCTTGAACATTGCGGTATAATATCATATACAGTATAAACCATGTTGAGATGGCGTTGTTGGTATCGTGAGCAGAGAAGAGAACATCCATTACCAAGAACTTAATATCTTCTATGGAACCTAGAAGGAAAAAAATTAAAACTTCAGTCTTAATTCGAAATCATGCCTGCTGCATGAGCAATAATCGTACTATAGTAAGACTTTTCCGGTCTGATCAGTGGAACAGATTTAAAGGTTTAGTCGTACCAGTCATTGTAATGATACTAGATATCCTAGACTGAGACAGGCATGAAAAATATTTTTAGAGCAACAAATGTGATCAATGCCTATTGTGTTTTTTTTGCGATCCTCGTCTTCGTGTTATGGGTTTTCATACATTTATTTGTCAGAAGATAAATCAGTAGTAATTTTTATCTATATAGGATATCTCACTGGGCAGAATCGTACTTTCAAAGATACCGTGTTTATTTAACTATTATCACAGTCCGAGGAAATCTTTCTGTATTTAACCGTACTTAAATAATAGTTCAGCATTCTTTTGTTGGGATACGTTCTTCCTACCTATGTCACTATCACGTTCCTTTTCCTTTTCATTGCGAAATTGGACAATGAATGCATCAATTATGTCCCGAACTTCCCCTTCTTTGTAGGTTTCAAGGTGATATTTCAGCTGCTCACCGCAAAACCCGTCTCTTATGTTTAACACGTTTTGAAGGGATTTCGCATATGACGTTGGAAAGAACCTCAAAAATGGGAGAAAATAATGTGCACTCCCAGGGCGGATTACAGTAGCAAATTCTTCGTTGAATTCTATCAACTTCTTTATTGTCGGATCATCATAACTGAACTGTTTTCCAACCAACCATTCACATAGGATTATCATGCTTGTTTTCCCAAGGTATTCCTTCACTGAAAACGGATTCCCTTCCGTTTTGTTTATCTTTTGCAATAACCTGTCGGATGCGTTGTACAATCGTTCCTTTGCAAGGTTTTTACCTTCACCAAAGACGCGCAAGGCATTTGAAAACACCCTTCGACGAAAAATGTAAGCACTGCTGTGGTTTGTAAATCCGAGATCCTTGTTTTCAAATATGACATTGAATGGAAACTGTGATTCGTCAACACGACCTGAAAAATCATCTTTTCTTGTCACAAAAGCTTCCTGAAACAATTCAGAGTTGTTTAAAATAAGAAATGTTCCAATGGGCAGAGAAATTGTGTAAAGGTCTCCAAATTCTCTGCGAAGGTTTTCCATTGAGAATGGCATATCCAAACCGACTTGAAGAACGTTCCCAATCAGAGGTATTGGTATGGGACCTCTTGGTAACTTTCGTCTGACTGCATAAGTGGACAGGTAAAACCAAGTCACATATAAAATCGCCACCAAGATGAATATTTCCAGGAGCATGATGAATTAAACAGTTCTGCAGAAAAAGGTTGGTCATGTTAATGATTAAGACAAATAGTTATGAAATAAAAGAAGATAACACATATGTAGCAAGGCGACTAACGTACACTCTACCATCAGCTTAAAACAGCTCCTTTTGCCGGGCTTTGGAACTAATGATGAATTTCACTTCTGAACCTTTTAACACCAGTGCAATTAAGCGGTGGCATTTTTATGATTGTGTTTTTCTTTTTGTCATGCACCTGTTTAATTACGCTCAAAAGTGAAAATATGCGAATCTGGGGCCGGTTGTATGTAAGCCGGATAGCGCTATCCACCGGATAGTGATTTCAACCCGTTCTAAATTCTAAAAATGTTTGAAAAGCAATAAAATTTCAACTTTGGAAAAAAAATTATTGAAGACGATTTAGTGATAATAAGATTCAATCAAAGTTATACCCAACAATAAGCGATTCTAAAGCGATTAAAAAAAACACTATATCCAACGCTATCCGGCTTTAATACAACCGGTCGCAGACCAACTATTTTTATCAGCCTCGCATTTGCTCATTTTTTTCTCCATTTGGTACTGAACTGAAACGTGTCATTCGATAGTTAAAACGGATTAATCTTTCCCAATGTGAAGCAATTATTAAGTTCATCTTTGATACTTCTGCGCAATATACTAAGCCACTTGAACCAGACTCTATATACTTGAAATATACAGCCATGCACAACATTAACTTGCATGCAGGAGACTCGTGTGGTCTTTGACCTTTTAATTACTCGAGCTAAAGCGAGAGTCTTAAATTCGGTCAGTTTTTTTCACGCAAGACTTATTTTCCCACTCGGCCAATCTTAATTTGGTCCAAAAGAAATACGTGGTGATCGCATGTGACGTATTTGTGACCATCTTATCGGCGTTGAGCGGCTCAATCAACTTTCCGCTTCTTCGTGCTAACTTAAGCGGCTGATTCCGTCACTTACACGTCTTTGTACTTAACATCAGCTCATACTAACTCTCGTCACGAAGGCCCTCAGGTCGAAACGTCGAGAAGTGTTTTGTCTAAATAATTGATGCTAAATACGCCTTCTAAGCGTACTCAATGGAAGCTAATTGCTAAATGACACTTCACGCATATTTTGTGTACTCAATCAACACTAAACGACGGAACGCATGTTCTGTGAACTTGATCAGAGCTAAACGACTGCACGCGCATATTCTGCACGATCAAAATCAAAGTCCGGCTTAAATCACAAGCAAAAACACTCCTTTTTGGCTCGATAAAACGCTAAACGTTTGTCATGCAGCTTGTAGGAGAAAACAGGGCCATTATTAGGATCTTATTTGGGGTTGTATATTCACGAGTGGCGTCGATTCATACCCTTTTAATACAAATCAGCCTTGCATAACAGAATATCGCTTCCGGCACTTTAAGCGGCTAAAATGGTCAAACCGTTCATATATCTTGAATTGAAATAGAGCATTTCCTTAAAAATACATTTCCCGTGCTAGAGTTCTTGAAAAACTAAAAACAAAGCAATCTGTCTGTACTAGCTGAAATGCGACTAGACCGATATGTCTGTTTTTACTGTGTAAATAAAAGAAAGCGCTCATGGTCCCCTCAACCAACGTTTGATTAACACCCATGTTATTTTGTATATTCATCTTCAATTACATAAGCGTGAAACAATCGCGACCAACAGAAACATGTCGGGCGTAACAATAAATATGAATTTTCATGCTTTAATTCAAATCGCAATCGATAAGTACTGTAATAGATTAACTGCATCACACACCTCTTGTCCGCACACCTCACCGTTTCCTCTGTTGTCCTTATCACTTCTCAATGCATATAGGCACAGTTATAGAATATACAAGGTTTGGAGACCACATAAAACTACAATACAACTCATTAACTATGTTGAGGTAGATTTATGCAAAAAATTGTGCCTTTCTCATCACGTGCCTATTGTATTTACACTTATAAACCAATAGCAATCTTATAACTAACATGTTTTTCAAGCCTAGGTTGAGGAGCTTAGCAAGACGAATGCCATTGGTACGTTTGGCTAAAATACAATAGACACGTGACGAGAAAGGAACCATTTTTTGCATAAACGTCGACAATAACACTGTTAATGAGTTGTATTGTACTTTTGTTTAGTCTCCAAACCATGTGACTATATTCTATCAACTGTGATATCGGTGATTTCAGACAGTTATGATTCGAAAAACAACAAAAGCTATTTTAAAGCTACTTAAAAGTATGGTGTGGCGTCCAATGGGTAATAACCGATTCTATAGTCTCCCTTGGTTTACATTATATCTACATAATCATATGTTTACATATAGCAAGTTCAACAGTGGCAATTCCTGTGCCATGCACATGCATTCAGTGGCTGTCACAATTTGCATCGGGTCGACATGTCAGGAAATCATGATGCGACGTCTGAAAAGTTTGTTGTATGAAATACGAGACTTGGAGATTGAACGAAGAGTTTTCCGAAAATGAAGGGTAGTTGCTAAAAGTAGCAGTAGCAATTTCAAGGTCAAGAAGTGCTAATAATTTAGGTGTTCAAATTTTAACTTTTTTATTAAATTCTAAAGTTACATGCGCTATTATTAATTTTGCCGCAAAATCATTGCACATTACTAAATATACACAAAAATTATAGCGAAAAAAAAGCATTAGAAGTTACCGATTTAATTTGAAATAGAAGTTCGGGGATTTAATTGACGCATTCATTGCCAATTATTTTGCATTTATTTTGATAAATGATAAATGACACAATTAGAATGCATATGCTAGAGGGGTAGGGGTAAAATGCGGATACGGATTGCGGATGGCCGATGCGGAAGGGGAATACGGATGTGAAAATGCGGATGAGGGGGTAAAATACGGATGAGTGGATAAGTATGGCTGTGTCCAGCTTACCAATTTCTCTTAAGATCGAACAAGTATTCAGGTTTTTTGCATTATTGAAGGTTGTTGTTTGGTTAATAATTTAATACTAAAAGCAATATTCGCTGACGCATCCAAAGCAATTCGCAGGCGAAAATAAATAAAACTGTCAAGTAGGCAATTCATAGATAAAATGTACGTATAAACAAAGCAATTTTATGTTTATTCGTATTTTTAGTTCACATTTTTCTGCATGGCTATTTGTGTCCATTGTTCCACTGACTCCCGAGAGATTATGAAAAACCATATTCAATTCAATATTCAAAACTTCTTAAACAAGGTGAAAAAAGTGTACGCCTGTTGATTGACGTTGATTTAAACAACCAAACCTACGCACCCCCAGTTATTACAGAGCTCGGTGAACAGAAAAAGGCGGCAAAATGATAATTTGCATCCCATGCGTCGGGCTATACTTTCAGTAATTTGCAATGTGATGTAAATTGCATGTATGCATGTACGTTAAAACTGTTTTGAAAGCGGCTACCTGTTATGTAAGCGGCTCCATCGCCCTTGAACGACGGAATATTGATTGATGGCATCAAGCAAATCCGGTTGGCAGATGTTGTAGAAAAATCAAAAGAACCCTTAGCTCAGCTAACAACCCACTTAAACTCTGCTTCACTGATCTGAAGTGAGGTAAATTTGAGCATTAGTTCAAATAAATTTAAACGCACTAGTTCACTAGATTACCTAAAATTATTATAAAGAGATCAGAGAAAAACTTAAAGAAAATCTCGGCCCCAATGTCAATTTCAGGACGCCTCAAACGATATTTGTGCCAATATACAAGTAGAAAATATCTGAAAACCAATAAGAAGAGCTATCAGCCACCTTTCTTTTGGAAAACTGAATTAGCCGCATGCAAGATTGGAAAGCGAACTCAACTGATTTAATCGATTTTCTGCGAGCAAACTCACGCAAAGCATTAGTTCACAAATTGTCGTCTTATTACGTATTTTTATCATTATTGTCTTGACTGTCATCTGTCCATTTGCCGGCGAACTCGTGCTCGAAATTAGGCAAAGAACGAGACATCGATGGACAAAAATGCCTTCACAAATCCGCAGATTCTCTTGCACGAAAGTGAAAACACGCGGGACACAGCTGCAGCCATTGCGTTGATAAACAAATTGTCAGCGGATAGGTAATAAATTTTTAGTTTTTAAATCCCAGCTTTTACATATAAAAATCGTTTTACTTTTTTTCGCATTTTACCACCTCATCGGCATTTCCCATCCACATTTTACCCCCACATCCGCATTTTATCCCCTCATCCGCATTTTCCTATGCGCATTTTACCCCCCCCCCCATCCGCATTTTCCCATCCGCATTTTACCCCGTCATCCGCATTTTCCCTTCCGCATTTTACCCTCTCATCCGCATTTTCCCACCCGCATTTTCCCTTCCGCGATCCGCAATCTGTATCCGCATTTTACCTCTACCCTATGCTAGAGGAGGTAGATTTAACTAAATGCGGCTGAGTGACTGATAAAACGGTTTTCTTCTAAATAATAGGTTATTTGGTACGAATATTCATTTTTATATTTTCAATTTTCAATATGCCTTAGTAAGTTCACTTGATGTAAAGTATATAAACATTTTTATTTTGCAAATATATTTTCAAATTTCAATGCCGCGTTTAAATATAAACAACGGATTATATCACTAACTGATCGCCAAATAATAATTTTTATACTATCTAATGTTTTTACTTTTTTTTACTAAATCATTTTTCAAGAGATTTTAATTATATATAAAATCATATTGTCAATGTCTTAAATCTGATGTTCGCTCACTTTCGTTTTATCGCACACAATAAAAATTGTTTTGGATAACAAACCCCGCCTGGCTGCGATTCCAAACTTGGCTCAGCCTCTCCACAAGGGATATTAAATTGGAAATGATGCAGCAAATTGGACGCTACCAGGAGCAAATTCATCTTCGCTAGTGACTGCCCGAGACATGAGCGAATTCCGGCACCAAAAGGATAGAAACTCGCGGACGTGTTCCAGCCGCGGAACTTTCCACTCTCATCAAGAAATCGATCAGGATTGAAAGACAACGGTTCATTCCATTCTTGCGGATCGTTGTTTACATACCACATGTTTAGCAAAATTTTTGTGTCTCGAGGGATTTGGTATTCTTTAATGGTAGTATCACGCAAGGTTTTTCTACCGAGCAAGGGCACAGGCGAGGCATGGCGAATCGTTTCACATATGACTGCGTGTAGAAATGGCAGGTTCTCTGCATCTTTCCAACACGGAGTGCGATCTCTGCCAACAACAAGATCTAACTCTTCGTGAACTCTTTTCTGCACCTAAATTTCATAAATAGAATGAGTCATTGCTAAAGCCATTAGATTTGAAACGGAAAGTGGTAAAAATTTAACATTTAACGGCATCCCATGATATCTGAAATGAACAGCCACGTACTACAATTTCAAAGCTTTAAAGGGGTACGGCAATACAAATAACAAACTATCTTTGTGTTTTTAAAATTGCCTCGAAATATGTGGTGAGATTTAAAACATAAATCTCAAACTTTCATTTGTTCCAGACATTTTTACTTTTTATTTCCGAGAGCGCGCCGGGATTAATTATGCTATCGATGTGCGATATACAAGCGTATTTGCGAGCAAATTCAATTTCACACCTCAAGCCAAATTTAACTTTGGGATTCCTTTGTGTAAAGAATTTTATGAAATTTATTCATGATAAAAGCGGATTTGTTCAGTTTCGAAGCTATTATTAATCAAGACTTTTTAGGTAGTACTTACCTTTTCATGCAACACCATGTACAGTATAAACCAACTAAGCGTAGCTGTGGTAGTATCACTCGAAGCAATGAAGAAATCCATCATAATAGTCGTAATATCATCAATTGTTCCAATATCTTTTCCTTTCCCTTCAACTTCCTCCTTCTCATAGGCGGCAAGAAGGGCATCCGCGATGTCACGAACCTCGCCCGATTGGTATGTTTCTCGATGTTCCTTGAGCAATTTTCCGAAATATTCATCACGTACTTGTTTCGTTTGCCGAAATCGCCTCGAAATATCAAAAGGAAGATATTCATAAAACGGCAAAAAGTCGATATTTGTCCACTGGTGACTGACATACAAAACGTTATCAACAAATTCGCGCAGCGTTTTGAAAATAGGATCACCAGGCTCGCACCTTTCGGAAACAAGCCAAGATGTTGTTACGTTCGTGATAGCTTGAGAAAGATATTCCATGGGGCAAAATGCCGTCTCGTTTTCTCCCTCAATACGCGTCACCAGTTGCTTGACCTCATATAGCACTCGGTTTTCCGCGGTTTTTACACCATCACCATACATATGAAGTGCATTAGTGATGACCTTGCGACAAAAAATATAGAATGGACCGTATGGGACAAAAGGGATAGCCTTATCATTGAACAAGTTCTTCTTGATCAACCTTGATCCACTAGGTCTGTTCGCAAAGTCATCTTTGCTTTTGATAAGCATTTCATGCATTATTTTACCGCTGTTTACGACAACGAAATTTCCTGATGGTACAAAAAGTGTATAGACCCCACCATATTTCTTTCGTAGATGTTCCATTGAATAGGGCATCCGCTTGCCAACAAGATGAACGTTTCCTATCAAGGGTAACGGGAATGGTCCAGGGGGTAAGGTCTGTTTTTGCTTCCTGGTCGACCAAACGAACCAAACACAGTAGAAACAACACATCAAGAAAAACAGTTCCACCCACATTCTAAAACAATCAAGATAATCCTATTAATTTTATAATAATTTTACTGTATTGAAAACCATGATTACTTACTCAGTCATATGTTGCAAAGAAATACATCAACAAAATTTATAAATTTGGATTCGGATATCAAAATCATATGATTAATGATTTTAAATTTTATAATTCTATTACATTTTGCAACCTTTTCCGCTCACGCAATTAGCCGTCGAACAAATAACCTAAAGGCTGTAACCCTATATGTATATTCTGCTTATTCTCTCAATTGAGAGTTCAGAGATTACAGAGCGCTAGCTGTCAGACGATTGTCTCCGCCGCCTGGTACGAGCTTAATTTGCATACAATTTCAGGAGAATGAATCAAGCATTATGTAAATTGTATTTTTTGTAAATATTACTCGCCATATTATGTTTCAGTTTTCACGAGCTTTGGTTGTGATTTAAGCCATTGTTAATATGTAAGTTTGAAGGAAGTTTTAAAATCACTGAAATTTAGCTCGGTATGAAATTTAGCATGATTCTTAGCAAATATTCATTTGGAACTACGCATAGCTAACTGAAATAGTACAAGTGTAATAATTTATTATTCTGAATATTATTGGTACTGCATGTTATCACTAACCGTTTGGCTTTGGTCACACTAACCCGATTCCCGATTTCAGTTTTTCGGACCAAATTTGCTATTACACAAAAGCCCTGGCGTATTCCAACGTACATGCATACACACTGGACGGTAAACAAATATGCTGCGATTTTAATCTGGTATAATATGAGTTTAGTTGACGTGACAGGGGTTTTGCAGGGATATCTTCCTAACAAAGTAGCCTTAATTTCTGCAAAATCAAGTATACAGTCATTACATACAGGGATATACAGCACTTTTTATCTTATTAAATTTTAGTGCATCGGCTGGAATAGACTATTAAATTTCAGCTCGGCTGAGTATATACCTCACCAGCATGCGATCGATAATATGTCATAGTCTGATGATGATTTAATACTACTTACTTGAGTTTGTAATGTTCTTGAATTCAGATCTGGTTTCTGACTTCGTTAGTTTAGATTTATTAAGCTAATTCGCAGTTTCGACAACTCTTTGAGTGGAAAGATACAGAGTACGGTTCTATTATGGTGGTACTAATCACTTTGAGACAACACAACCTAAGGGGAAAATCAATAAAAAGGCAAATGACGGCCATAACAAAAAAGATGGCGGGTGTATATTTTACCAGATTGCATTGCGGTCGGAAATCGTTTAAAAAAGCGAACTGACGTCTTTTAAAGGGAAGGCATAAAACAGGAAGTTATTTTCTTTGCTGTGTGAAAATTTCCCGTCATTAGGAGTTTTTCATGCCGTCTTTTTTCAGTCAATCATTCTTAATTCCCGCAATGCAATCTAGATCTGGTAAAATGGACATGCCGCCATCTTTTCCGTTACGGTCATATGCTTGATTGATAATTATACCTCGTCAAATATCTCAACACATAATCGGCGGCCAGAAATACACAAGGATTCATTCATTCATTCATTCATTCATGGTGTCATTGCACCGTCAGTTGAATGGAAATTTTTATTTAATGCCACGTGATCAAAAACAACCAAATAAAAGACCTATTAATAATTATATAATACGTAGTAAAAATGACATTACTACGACCCATATACAATTTCAAATACCTAGTTTGAATTTCAAAATATGATTTGGAGGTGACGAAATATTTTTGCAACCATGCCTTGCAATAGCCAAAATCTTTGCCAGACAAGTTACAGTCACACGTTGCAACTTGCAAAGAGTAAACGTACTTCTATACTTTGTATAATGCTTGAAGCAATTTGTTACGCAACGTAACGTCTTTGAGAGATATGTTGCATTAAATTTTTTTACCGCATAAAAGGGCCAAGCATGTATGGCAGCACCAGGGGCATAACGTGGAGGTCAGGGGGAAAGGGAGGGGGCTACATCCGGTGGCCGGTGGGTATGATAAACCGACGAAAAGGCTATACTTTCTTTATACGCGACAAGCTAAAAATTAAAAGGCAAACATAGTTGCTGTTGCCTTTTTGGCGGTTTTGTTGCGAAAATCCCCTGTCACTCAGAAAATAGTTAGAACGAGAGCTAAGATTATGAATATGAAAATTGAGACATTTAGCTGATCGTTGTGGGGTACCATGCAGTGTTAAAATAAGAAACAGTTAACTGCTTGATTATTCCACCCACCGACTGTAATTTGCAACAAAAGATCAAGGTCATTCAATGTGGTGTACGGACAATGGATGTAAACAAATATGTAAACGAGAAATAGAGTACCTAAAGTACCTAAAAGGCTTGGGCACCTAAAAGGCTTAATTGGTTTGTCACAAGAACGTAACATATTTTATATCAGTTAATTTTATCGATTAAAATTGTGATGATGGCATTGGAATTGTTCGGTATAATTGTTACGATTTTGTTATGCCTAATATGTGTTTGGCTGATTTGGATAGCGTGGAAACGAATTCAATTGTGCAAAGTTTTGTCGTCCATTCCAGTTCCTTTAACACCTTGGCCTATCTTTGGTCATGCTCTACAAATGAAAAGGGATCCACACGGTAAGTTAATTCGGCTCTCGTGGCGTAGACTGAAAGACTAGATCCGTGTCGTGCTTAAATGAGTAAAATGACATATTTATATCTTATAACGGTTTCAACCGAACTGCGGAGTTTACACTAAATTGCTTTGCTTCTTACTGCTAAGCGATTAACAAAGTTGCTTAAGTGATCAAATTCAGTTAAATCACAGGTTAAATTATACGACACAACCTATATTAACATTCATCAACCAAGAAATATGGACCTGCAGTCGGTATTTTCTCCCTAATACATTGCTCACTTATTGTTATTGTTATGCCATGAATATTGCATGTAATAATGCAGAACAATGTTGACTTATATATATGTGAACATTGCCATAAATTTTACTTATATTGCAAAAAAATTCAATAATTATAATATATAATTCCACCAGACTGTTACAGAACAGTTGGCATATAATCTAAATTGTAATCTCTATTGAATGTTTATATGATTCCACTTCCTTATCACCTAAGTGGGATTCCTGCATCAGTTGCCTATATCTGACCATATAATGAAAAATTCCTATATTACTTATTTAACCATTCATATCCTAGCTGGCTTGGCAAGATTACCTTTTACTGACCTATACCTTTTAATACAATATAACACAATTTTTATAGCTTCATATTTCCCAGGAAAGCCTTTGTATATTAATTATTATATGTATATTAATATATGGTATATATTAGTCCACACAATAGTTTAGTGTCTAGCTGACAAATAATCGTCATATAAGAAGCAAGTTAATGTAAATCTGAGATGACAATTAATATATGCTTAAAGTCGACCAGAATGAAGATTTGGTGATATGTTAGGTATCAGTACAGTTAGTGAGCTAGATTAGGTTCAACAATAAAATACAGAGTAATTACTTAATTAAATGGTTAATTAGCTTGTGTGGGCCATATATAACTGTGACTTTTCTCTGCCCTATGATTCTATACTGGTAATACATAAATTGAACAGTCTATTATTGTTATTTATCATATCGATATGATAGATAACGATAGGCTATTCCATTTATGTTAATTACTGGTATATATACCTTATATTTTTCATACTAATTAACATAGCATTTGTATTTATAATTATGTGAAATTGTGAAAATTGGGGGCATAGGAAGCAGGGGGCAAGGCATAGCCCTCAATAATTATCTGAATATCTTTTGGCTTTCTTAATTGTTAAAGTATGATAGAAAATGCTACACATGAAATTACTTGAAATTGTATATATGTTGCACATGTAACCTAGCTGTTCTCTGAAATGGCCATTTCCTGAGGATTTACAGCAAACAAAAATAAAATTTTTCTTGCTCAGTGCCAGCAATGAGCCTGGCACTCATAATTTTGACTTATGCACCGTTTATAAAGCTAAACATGCTTGATACTACCAATTCCTGTGCGCTAAAGCCTGGAATACCGTGGTTAAACAAAATAACCGGAGGTCATCATCTTTTGTATTACAATTATTACACAGAATTTTACATCCAGATTAGAAGTTGGATGGAGAACCTCCGGGAGAAAGGGTTGACTTGTGTATGGATAGGACCGAAGCCCTTTATTGGTATTTTTAAAGCAGAGTTTGTGGAGGTATTTACATACTTTACATATTATATATACTAAAAATACTTTTATGTAAATGACAATTTTGTTATATAAGGTCTTTCTGAAATAAGTTTGAAATTGTCAAAATATTAAATGACTATGAACTTTCTAAATTTGATGTAGATTTTATTGTCGAGCCAAAAAAACATTACGAAAATGCCTCTTTACACTTTTCTTCACCCGTGGTTTGGCGAAGGTATGATTTTAGTAGAAATAAGTTGAAGCGAATGCGATTATATATAGTCAGTGATGATATGATATTTGTGATTTTGTGTGTGAGTTCGTTTTTTCTTTGATTAAACTGAAAAGTTATTTCCGAGTTTCTTTGTGACATAATATAGCTATTTGAAAGTTTTTCATCGATTTTTATTATTTTTGGTATGAGACTTCTGTTTCTGCAGAAAAATCAATAGACACACGAAACCGAGGCTAGTTAGATTTCAATTTTCGGAATTTCAAAATCATGTTTACTTTCACTTTTCCGCTGGACCTGTCAGAAGCCAGAAAAAGAATATTTCTTTCAATCAAAATCGAGCAATGCACAAATAATTTTGGACTTATTTTGGCTGAAGAAAACCTGACTAGCCTCGTTTTTGTGTAACTCGCTACAGGCCTCTTGCTCTTTTTCGAATAGGTTTATGAAACCCTTTTTTCTCTTTATTTTTTTTTCTTTCACTTTTTCTTTTAATTTCAGGCCTTTTAACAAGGTTAGCAGCTCTCAATGTTATTATGAAGCACTTAAATGTAATATGAGTGGCAGCTATCGGGTATTACACGAAGCTCTA